GACACCAGACACAATATGCACATTTACCAGATGGGTGAACAAATGTTTAAATGTGTGAACATTTGTTTCAGCCATTAATGAAAAATACCACTGAACACTATTTATTTCACACTTGCAATGCTCCTTCTACTTACTCATACATGTAAGGCATATTTAGAAAAATCAATGGATAATTTACTCACAGAACATCAGGTCAACAGAAACCTTATGTTTTGATAGGATATAGTGGGCACTGCTTTTAGAATCATCCTCCAGAGGAATAAAAATAATCCTTTTCTATCCTACCTATATAGTTCCAGAATATGAAGATAAATTCACATTGCATCACATTTTCTCCTTCTATTACATTACTTGGTGCTGATCTCTCAATTAATTCCTCTTGCATCTGAGAAATCTTTAACATTCTTAGCTTGCTCAGCTCTGAGGTAGCACAGATAATTTTTTCTTGTGTATGCAGAAATTCAAATCAAAGCCAGCTGCTTATAACAAAGTCTTCTTAAAACAAGGGGTTGTGCTTCTGAAAGTGAGAAGATTGTCACTGAAAAGTACAGGCTAAAAATGATTCCTAAAGATGTCTCTATAACTAATGATTTAACAGGTGTGCATGTAAGCGTTGTCAATACTCTTCCTAACTGAACACTGGTGTGGGGGTTCTTCTTAAGACAAAAGGTAGTACAACCTGAATCGGTGTTGTATTGCAGGGCTGTCATTCAAACAGAGCTGGGTGCAAGGGTTATGTATATAAACACTGGACATTGTTTAAATGGCATAATTTCACCCATCTGGCAGCAGTGCCTGCTCCAGACTGCCCTTACTTCACATGGCTGCTGGTACTTAAACTTTCTACACATAATCAAATAGTGGAGTGAGAGAAAAGAGGAAAAAACAGTGTTGGAGGAAGGAATATTTTAAATATTTTATCCATTTTTTTCCTTAGCTGCGAGATAAGCAAATTACTTGCCTCACCTTATACGTATTCCAAAATTTCTTTTTACAGTCTGAAAAGATGTCCTCTTTCCTCTGAAGGATGCTCATACCTAGTGGCAAAATATTTACAACAATCAGAAATAATGCAAAAATGAAATGTTCATTTTTTTCAATGACACACTAAACCCTCCTCAGAATATATTACAATAGCTTTGAAAGAAAAGCTGGTACCATTACAAAGAAAAACATTCCGGTTACCTGATAGTGCTACCTTATAACTCCTACCTATTGACTTGACTGTCAGCACTGACCCCACAGATCAGCTGGGATATACTGTATCTGTTCCTCTGCCACATCATGCACCAGTGATATGGTGGAGGAACAGAGAGAATTAAAGTACCTTTCACACTCATGAGAGAGAGAATAAGGCATTGTGCACATTGTTGAATTGCCAGAAGAGGCTCAGACTCTGGAAGGAGTTCAGGTGCCTACAGACCAGTTGAAGTCAGTGGAAAAGGGTACCTAATTTTTTTTGTTTAATTTTGACCACTCTGATCCAAACTCCTCTTGGTTCTAGGAAAGCACAAACTCACAACAGGCTCCCATCATTACACCCAGGACCAACAGAAAAGCAATATGACTTGAAATGACATAGTAGATACATACAAACAGAAATAAATCAACTGAGTGAATTCCCATTACATGAAATACTGTTTAAAGGGTTTATTATTTTGAACTCTTTAACTGATACTTCATACAAAGGGAATCTTCAGATATCAAATTAAGACTACATCCTTCTAAAAGGTGTAGCAGCTCTTCAAAGACCACCCACCTCAACTGGAAGCTGTGACCTATATTTGGAAAAGGTATTAGACAACATGCTTTCAACAAGTCAGTCTAAAATCAAAAGCTACACATTCGTGCATAAGCAGAGACCCAAAGCTGCTTAGTCCAACTGAGGGATCCTGTTAGGTATTTGCATCCCATGGGGTTATCGGTATCTCTCAATGGATCCATTATTTTACTGCTACCCGAGTTAGGGATTTTTATCATCCTTTTTGTGGTCCTTCAGATCCTTCTGGCCTTTGGGCAATTCTCTGCTCAGGTTCTGACACAGACAGATAAGATTTTGAGAGTAAGGATCTGGCATTTGACTTCTTTCTTTGCTTCATTTCTCTTCACTCACAAACTGAATGATTTCCCTGATGGGGTCATAGAATGCAGATCTCCCAAAACCAGACAAAATAAGGGCCTGTCTTGCTCTTCTTCCACATGAAGTCAAATGAGAGCATTTAATTACACTAGTCTCACCTCTTTTCTTATTCCCTCATATTTTTGAAATTGATACTAGTCTTTTTTAAAGCCTCTTCTTACTTAGCTTTTGAGATTATCCATCAGTAGCATGCTGTATTTCTATATATTCTCACAGCAGAAGCTGGTACAGTTTATTTGCTGAACTATAGTATTTCCTGACATTTACCGTTGTGTTTTGGAAATGAGTTGGAGATGTTTTGGAAATAATGTCGAGAACATAGCAGAGCAGAGCAATTCAAGCAGGCATGGGTGGTACAATTGTCGCTAGTTAAAAGCTACAGGCCCAACCGAGCCCATGGCAGGACTCCCCTTCGGCCCAGCACCGCCTCATCTAAAGCTCTGAAGTGCCACGGGCGGTTCAGCATCCTCGGGTCCCCAGCCGCGTCCCCAGCTCCGAGCGCATCCATCCCCGCCCAGGGACCGCGCACCCTGCACCGGCCTCCTGGGGCCGCGGGAGGGGGGTACCCAACCACGCCGTCCTACTGGGGCAAAGCCCCGCTCCCCAGGACGATCCCGCGGGGTTCTGCGATGGACACCCCCGGCACGGCCGCACTCACCCGTGTAGAAGGCGAGCACGGCGACGGGCGCTCCCAGGAGCTGGTCGCAGAGCACCTTGCCGAGCACGGCGGGCGGGCGGCGGCCGGGCAGCGCCCGCTCCAGCGCCCGCAGCCACACGTAGCTGAAGTTGCCGTGGAAGGCGAGGGCCACCAGCGCCACTCGCCGCGTCTGTGCCCAGTCGGGCGGGTGTCCCCCCCGCCGCCGCAGCAGCTGCTGCGCCGCGTCCCCCGCCGCGAACAGCCCCCCGTAGAGCAGCACGTTGCAGAGCCAGGGGAAGCGCCGCACCCCGCGGAGCAGCGCCCCGGCCATCGCCCGCCGCCTCTTCCGCCTCTTCTTCTTCCTCCTCCTCCTCCTTCTCCTTCTCCTCCTTCACGGGCCCGCCCGCCGCCGCTCCGGCCCCGCCGCCGCCCTCGCCATCCCCGCGGCGCTCCCCGCTCAGGGATCCTCCCCTAACAGGGAGGGCCGGCTCCCGACGGCCACGCCGGGCTCCCGTGGGTGATCACCCGTTGGTCACTGGGTTCGTGGGCTTGTTTCTGAAGTGACCATATACTCACTCCCAAGATGTAGGTTACTGTGTTTCCTGGGCTTTGGTCGAAGTAGCACCATGGAGTCACTGTGCAGTACTGCCGCAACTCACAGAATCGATTAGGTTGGTAAACACTTCTGAGATCATCGAGTCCAACCTTTGACCCAACACCACCTTGTCTACTAGACCATGGGACTAAGTGCCACATCCAGTCTCTTCCTAAATACCTCCAGGGATGGTGACTCCACCACCTCCCTGGGCAGCCCATTCCAATGTCTGATCACTCTCTCTGTAAAGAATTTCTTCCAAATGTCCAACCTAAACCTTTCCTGGTGCAGCTTAAGACTGTGCCCTCTTGTCCTACTGCTGTTTGCTGGGAGAAGAGATCAATACCCACCTCACTACAACCTCCTACTGACAGACAAGTGTAAACTAGGCACTGTTTGCTTATTTTTTAATTATCTCCTTGCTGCTTGGTTACATGAGTAGGTTATGGCTTTTTTTCAATTTTTCTGGTGTCTTTGCACTTTGGTTTCTGCTACCCTGCTGAGCAGGGCCCATACACACCTGCCGAGCAGCAGCAGCAGCCCGTGGGGTTCCTCCGCTTTGCCCTCTGCTCCTGAGAGAAATTGAGGAGAAAGTCAGAAGTGATGTTTGGTTATAGAATAGGCTTGTGTACACAGCTTTGTGCACACAGAACCAGTGCCACAAAGCGGATCTGAAATCCATGTAAAAGAGCTGACACTGAGAGTGGCTCCAGTCCTGCAAGGCAGCCCTTGGCCACAGAAAACGAGGAGCGCAGCCAGGAGTTTCCCCTCGGTCCTGGCCACGGGCTCAGACTTGACCAAGGGAACCATCTCGAGGCTGGAGGCGGTAGTTCGCTCTGTGACCTGGAGCAATGCGTTTGAAACTGTCACGAAATCTCCCATAGATGACTATAAATAGGCGTGGACGGTCTGTAGATTGAAATACCTTTCAGTGACAGTGGTGAGCGCGCTGCCCAGTGCTCGGCGGACACGCCGTGCCAGGGCCGGGCCCACGAACTGCCCTTTCCAGCTCCTCATCCCGGTACATCCCTGCGGGAAACACCACCAACACCATCTGCAAGTGGTGCTACTGAATAATATCAACGGCGCTAAACAGAAGAGGGATATGCACGGAAATTAACTCCAGCTTGGAAAACCAGAGATAAAGCCCAGTAAAACCCCCGGTTTGTGTCTTCGGGGGCTGCCCGTAACAGAACCCGCGGGAAGGTGCGCGCTCTCCGCCGGGCTGTGCAGCGTTCCCGCAAAGGAAAGGTCTGGTGCCACCGCAGGCGACAGCGGGGTGACAGCCGAGAGGTTCACGAAGGCTGGAGGCCCGCAGAGCCCTCCCGGGGTCCGGGCGGCCACGACCCAGCACGGCGGGGACTCGAACCCGCAGCACAACGCTCCTGTCCCAGCCCCGCTTCCCTGACCGGGCCCACGGCCACGCGCGCCGCGCTCCCTGCGCATGCGCCACCACCTGTCACCTCCCCGGGACTGTTCCACCAGGCGCCGTGGGGGGGGAGCGGCCGCGCTCTCCCTAATCCCCTCGCGCCGCGCTCAGCGTGGCCGCCCCTCTGTCCCCCCTCTCCCGCGCGGCGCGGTGGTGCGCGCGGCGGGGGGCGGTGCCCGGGCGCAGGTGAGCGCGCGAGCGCGGCCCGCCCCGCGCGGCCCCGTCAGCGCTGCCAGCGTGGAGCGGCCGCGCCGGGCCGGGGCGGGCCCGCCGACATGGACGGGCCGCTGGAGAAGGTCTGAGCGCGGGGGCGGGACGGGACGGGACGGGACGGGATGGGACTGCGGTGGGGCCGCAGCCGCGGGGAGGGGTCTGGGGCTCGGTGCTGCCCCGGCGCTAAGGCGGCTTCGCTTCCCAGAGCCCCCCCGGGTGTGCCGCCCCCCACCCCCCCCCAGCCGCGGGTGTGACCAGCATCCGTGTCCCGGATCGGGAACTCGGGATAACTACCAGGAAATGCTTTGGGAGCGGGGTTTGTGTTTTCTTAAAAAAAAAAAAATGGAGCTTATTTCCTGGCAGGGCGAGCCTTCAGCAGGACAGGAGGGGAAATGTTATTAAAGAAAATATTATTTGACTGGTTTGGTTTTTTTTCCATTTTATATGGAGGTGTTTGCTGCCCTGTGTTTGCTCTGCTGCCCAGTGCGCTGTGCAGAGCAAACATTGGCCGTGTAACACCGTGGGCGAGTGACAGAGCCCGTTCTGCCCCTGTCACGGTGAGTCCGTGGGTGCCCCACGCCTGCGGGACACCCTCGAGGGGCTCCTGCCGCTTGTCCCCCGGCGTGAGGACTGGATCCATTTAGAATAATGAATATTTTGGGTGCTCAGGGGTTGGTAGTGCACGCACGCCCCTCCTTGCATCATCGACTGTACGTTTGGTTTCATGTGAGCTTTGGGATTGCCCAGAGAAGTTTGAATGGGATGTGCTCCGGTAAAATGGATGGTTAGGAAATCCAGGAAGCACCTTCCTCATGTGGCTAAAGGGTTGGTAGCAAAAAAGTTCGATATGCTGCAATCCACGTGAAGAATACGGCGTTATAGAGTATTTGGTGGTCTTTAAAAGCTTAAGTTCTTTACTAGTGCTGACAAAAGTTACAGTGACTGTTGCTTGTTCTGAAAGGTTTTATTTATGAAGTAAAACTTAATCGAAATAGTAGCTTGGAGTATGGTCTCTGTCAAATGGACTCAAAGAGAGTTAATGCAGTTATTTAGAGAAGGTTCATTAGTACATGTCAGGGGTAGTACTGACAAAGTTCTTAGAAATTTGCTTGACTAGTTCATCATAAGAAACAATAAAACCACTGTGTAAGAATGAAATATCTACAGACAGTCCATGTTTTGATTATTTGTATTCTTGATGTAAGGAATAGTCTGTAATGGTGAGGGCCCTACAAAAACTTGTATGTCTGTTTTTTCAATATATGCGGATAGATGTGTATAAACAGTTACCTTTTTTTTTACTTTCTCTCTTTGTTGTATAAAAGTTGTATTCCTCTATATAATAACATGCCACAATAAGATTATGGTCTTGGAGCCACTTGGAGGTTAGTGCCCTCTTGGAATAGTCTGGTTAAGATTGTGGTAAATCTGTACAATTTGCATTTTTTCTAGTCTTGAGTATGAGATGTCATGATAAGTCTTCTCCCTAAATAAATAAATTTCAAATTCATCCAAGATGGGATACATTTATCTTCAGAGAATGTGTGTCCACTTATCTTGTGGTTATTTAAGCATTATCATAACAGATCAGAGACTCTTTTATTTGAACCGTGTGTTCTCTCCTCCTCGTGTTTTTATACATGCAGCTGATTGGGATGCCAGTGAGAAATACTTTTTAACTTATATTCAAATTTGTCACAACTTTGTATTTTTCCTGACCATTTTGGTACAATCACCTAATTAGCTGTAATGCGGTGGCATTGAGTGACTGCAGTCATTAGATTCTTGCAAATGGAAAAAGACTTTTTTTAGCAGATGAGAAACTTCCTGAGAATTGAAGACATTGCACAATAGGACTGCAAGGAAAACCATTGCAGAATTTGACACACAGGTGTGCACACCAAGTCTCATAGTTTGATTTTGAAAATTGACTTTGTTTTATCACACATTTTTTTTGTGTGTTTTTTCTTTTTTTTAATGTATTAATTGTGTGTCATAAGTGGTATAACTCCAACTCAATTTTATCTGAAATCCAGAAATCTTTTTTGGGGTGAACTTCAAATTAAATTCTTCTGGAAGCCTGTGTTAAATCATAACTCTGGCTAACAGAGCTATGCTTTTTAAAATATTTTTTTATACATATATGTGTTTTTTTATTTTGATTTTTCCTCCATTTATATTTTGGTATAAGTGACCAGTTTTCTGAAGGATTTGAACATTTCAAGTTAGGTGACTTTGTCAGTGGTAAAACAGTGTACATTTTCCACTTGTAACTTCTTGCTGTCTCTACAACAGTGTTTTCCCTAAACATGAAAAACTGTTTTGGTTTCTTGCTCAGCCCGTGGCTTTTGTCTTCTGTTACTGTGCTATTTACCACAACATCCTGGTAATTTTACAGAAAACTCATGACAGCACCTGCATGCAGGTCCTGCTGCATGTCAGGAGATAATAAAGCTTCAAAGAGTAAATATCTATAAGCCTTGTGGTGACACAGTGCCATTTTCATTCAAGCCCAACGGTCATGAAATGGCTGCTTTCTTTTTTGTTATCTTAAACTTTTCTTAGCCTGGAGAATAAACACAATATTCTTTGGGCTGAATACTGATATCGTTTGAGATTAATTTAGTGTTGACAATAGTTTTTGGGTTTTGATGGTAAAACTTTCTTTTAGGCAATTAAAATAATGTAGTGGGAAACTCAGGTGTACTTCCCATGAAATAGGAAATGAGCTACACCTCTGAGTTGCTTTGCACACACATTAGTTTATGTAGTGTTTAAAAATCATCCCTTTATTTCATTAGAAGTACAGCCACAGAAATGTAGAATCCAGATTGTAAAACAGTATATGAAGCAACATTTGCATTTAATGTTCAGTCTTATCACAGCTGGAGAATGTCCCCTTATCTTTTCCCCAGCTGCCAAGTGACTCCAAGGTGTGACATAGTGCTCATAAAATCTTTAACAGTTTACAGTTCAAAGTGCTGAAAAAACCAGTACCAGATTGGTTACAGAACAGGGAAGTAACCACAAATCAACCCTGTGCAGGATAACCTCAGTGAATTGGATTAACACATCCTGAAGGCAGTGAATGATAGAAGGCAAAGCAGGTCAGGGTGTGTCAGGGTCTCTCAGGGGCTGAAGGAGGCAGGAGGTGTTGGGAAGCTGAACGGACACCTGGAAGGAAGAAGCTGTGGCTGGTGCCTCCCTAGAGCTTGGGAGGACGTGTCACATCTTGGAACTCGTGTGGTCAAAGGCTCCCCTGACTGTGAGCAGAGCCAGACCCTGCAGTACCAGGGGAAGGACTGAGTGCAGCTGCTTTAACCCCCTCAAAAAGTGTGTTGTCCTGGGGTTCAGGAGGTGATATTGAAGAACTCATCCACCAGTCGTTCTTAAAAACTGTTTAAGACCATGAAAAAAGTATTCAGTTTATTTCTGATTGGATTCTGTACAAACTTGGTCTCATTTACAGACAAAACTAAAGGAATATACTACTTTATTATGGCATGTTATTAAGGTGGGTTCAGAAACCTTTCTTAACTAATTGGTTTCTTGCTGCAACTCTGCCACACCTATTTCTCTTGCTGCTTAAAATAAGCAGATCTCCTGCTTCCCACCTCCATGCCCTTACTAATGTGAGCAGAGGAGGAGCATATATATATATATATTTATATATATGAAATTCAGCATTCAGCAGTAAAAGGTGGGCTTTTTTCTCTTCCCATAATTCAAGGGAGAGCTAAGTTGCTGTATATCCACTTAGCAATTGGAAAAATGCAGAAGGGATTCATTTCCCAATTAAGCCCACATTGGAATTCAAGGACTTTCTGGATTTCATAGCATTTTTTGGAGCTTAGTGCATCTTCTTAGGAGTTTTGAAGCTGTATTTTATGTATTTACTCTGCCAGCTTACTGGCAGGAGGGTTTCATGGGTGAGTAATTATTAGTGAGGCAGGATGAGTAACAGGTGAGCGTGTGTGGTTTGTAACATATGATGTGAATTTGATGTTGGTAGCAAACAAAAGCAGCTCAGAGCCCTTTCTGTAAAGCCTCTGCATCTTGTGTCCTCATCTACAGCAGAGCTGTTTGAATACTGGCACGTGATGCTAAGGGAGGTTCAAACAAGTAACTGCCTTCCAGCCATTGATCATGTTTTATGGCAGCCTGAATTAAATTATGTGAGATAATCACAATCAGCAAATTAGTCTTGTCATTTACTCGCTTAAGGGCTCCCAGGAGGAAAACTGCTTGTTTTTTTTTTCCCTGAACTTCTTTTCAGGTTTTCTTTGATGCGGTGCAGCTCTGGAAACCACTGCAATTGTGTGGAAATATTGCCAAAGATTGTATTTAGGTTTTTCTTTTAGCTATATATATTGTATTCTCACTATTGAATGCTTGCACTGTGTGTGGATTTTTTTAATCCTTGTGATGAGGTCTTGAACTGTTTGTATTTGTACTGCTTTTTCACTCAGAACTAGATTAAGTTTTGGCCTTCAGACCCAGTGGATTTTGTAGAAGACTGAAGTGTAAAAACCTATTTATTGCTGAATGCTGAGAGTTCTGGTGGGCAAATATTACTCAATATTTGCACTGTTCTTTTGTTCCTCCCCCAAACATTTGTTACTGGCCACTTCTAAAGCCACAGGATAGAGAGCTGTCAGCCTGGGTCTGATCACTGTGCCCATGCCTGGCTACTGATTCTTTCAGCCACCAACCACTTGCTATGATATGAGTTAAATCTCAGAATATTTTGGTAAAAATAGTCTTTGAACATATGGTAGCTCTCAACTTTTTTTGTTGTTGTTTTTCTGTCAGTCCTCCAGATGAAAATAGTGTAAAATCTTCATTTAAATGAATCCCACTACCTTCAGTGATTAAATTTGCTTTTGTGTCTGCATCTACATGAGCAAAGGCATTTGCCTCTGGTGCATGTGTTCCATCAGCAGTGATGGAAAGTTGGCCTGTAGGAATAATGCTGCTAAAATAACATAGCAGACAAGCTACTCTAGATCCCTGCAGTGGGGATAGTTCAAATATATGTTCAAATATTAAACTTGTTTGGGATTTTTTCTTTAAACAGCCCCCACCCCTTACCCTGGTACCCCCCAACCTCAGCAGCCTGCAGGGGGAACTCCCAGAGGCTTTGGTGGGTGGGCTGATGGCTTGAAAAAGGGTTGGTGTGGAATTTATGGAGGCTCTGCAGAGGCAGGGAGAAGAGACTCTAACAGGGTCACCTGAGTATCTCAGGGTTCTCTGCTGTCTAATGTGAGAGGTCTTACCAGTGGTGTTGCCTTCTACCTTCATGCTGGGGCATATTGATTTTTCAAATACCATTCAATATTGATCACTGTAGGTAAATCAGACTCTGCCAGATGACACCTTTCACATTCTTTGGAAGCTTCAAATGGCATCTTTGGGATTTACCCATTTAAATGGGTAAATGTTCCTGTCCAGATCTCCTGTGTCAGTGCCACAAACTTCTGTTAGGCCTCTTGGATTAAAGTTCATAAAAGAGACTTCTTCAGAGCAGAAGCAGTTCTTTGGGAAATGCTGCTTGCTTGTCTTTGAGGTGATCATTGGTTCAGGGGAAAAAATAACTAATATGGTACATACTTTTTTTCTAGTTCAAGCATTATAAGGAGCACTTGAACATTTATTTGTCTGAAAAAAAAAATCTGACTTTCCTTGTGGAGAAAAAGATTGGATCTATCAATAATAAAATCCACATCACAGTTGAGTTTTCTGTTGGTTTATTTTAGGTTAGTAGGATTTTTCTCATTTTGTATATTTTGACTTCAGGATATTCAGCATATTTTAAATTACTATTTACAGGCTTATTAAAAGAATCTGGCCAGTGCATGAATTTCTATTGAGGATGCTGTGGGGACAGTAGTAAGATAAATGGTTTTTGATCTTTTCTTAAAAGTTGTTTTCTTTTTCCTGAAAGATGGTTGACCCTACTCTGGCAGAAATGGGAAAGAACCTGAACGAAGCCATGAAGATGCTGGAAGACAATCAGAGGTACATGCAGAGGGTATAATACAAACCCAGCAGCTGTTTGTGCTAAGGGGAAGGTTATTGGTGTTGCTGGCATTAAGCAGAAAAAACCTCATTTTCTTAGTAGTTTAAGGTCACATTGCCATTTTGAAGCTTACACCTCTACAAATCAGTGTTGTTTCTCAGATGATGGGATTTTTAAAGTAAATGTACGTATTTTTATGCATGTTCTGTAGTATTCAGAATATGTCCAGTGAGCCTGATTTTTCAGAGATGTGAGATTTTTTTTATTATTACTGCAGTGCAAGTAATTTTTAATTAGTGTATGTATGAGACTTCTCTGTAAGCTTTCTGTTTAAGAACAAAAACCCAAAACTTAGGAACTCTTTAATTCAGTTTGAGCTAAACTTTTGTGTTGGTCTCATCTGATTTGTTTCTGAACCTGTTGTCAGTGAAATAGATTGCAAACATGTCAGTATGTATCTCTGCAAGTCAAAGTCAGTTACTTATTTGATGTTATAAAACACAAACTAAATGCATAGTTTATTCTTGTGTCTTTAACTTAGAAAAGTGGAGGAGGAAAATGAAAAGAAATATGCACGGAAGGACATTCCTGGACCACTGCAAGGCAGGTAGGCAGCAAGGATTTTTAGATAATGCTCTTTTCAAAATCTGTAAAATATACATAGCGTGTTTGTCTTCCAGGCAACTTTAGTATTAATCATATATCATATGTAATCATTAACTGTAGAATATACTGAGTTGGAAGGACTCATCAGGATCATCGAGTCCAACTCCTGGCCCTGCACAGGACACCCCAATGCAAACATTAACATTTTCCAGGCATTATTAATAAACTTTTTCCCATAGTCACATAGGGGAAAAAATAATTTTATCATCATACCAACTATTTCCATACTCAGGGAGAAAACAGAAAGAAAGATTATTTGTCCTTAGTTACTGAAATTGTGAACTCTTGGAATCTGATGAAGTATTGATGCCTACAGCTGTGGTTCCAACTCAAAGCAAACATAAACAAACTTTTGCTATTGAATTAAAGCACCTGGATTAAAAAAAACCGCTGAGGATGATAAGAGAGAAAACCTTAAAACCCCCAAAACCACAAAACAACCCCCCCCCACCTTTTCAGTACAGCTGTCTTCAAAAATTAAACAGAGCTCTTGTGCATGAGACAGGTAAGGCCATTGTACCTGAAAATTAAGATGTAAATTGATTGTGTCCTCTTTGGAAGACCATCCTGCAGGAGCTCAGGTTAGCAGTACAGAAAGTATTGCAAAAGCTATTTAAGTCTTTAGTGTACAGAAGATAAACCTGGTTTTGAGTGGAGACACTGAATTATCTTTTCTACGAATAAAAAGCAATTTCAACACTCAGAGGGTGAGTTCTTACATTACTGTAAATTTTAGCTGAAATTATAAAAGGTGAAGTGTTGTGGATCTTTCCCAGTTTCACCATGTTAGAGTGCATCATGTCAGGAGTCTAACATAGCTTCTATTTGCCAGAAACTGATATTTGTGGGTAATTGTTTAAGAGATTGCTGAGTTATGAGCTGAAGCTGGTTCACGTGAAGAAAAACGCGGATCCTCAGATACTCCTTTCCTTTGCTCTGCAGCAGCAATGCAATGTTGTCAAGTCAGACTTTTCAGTCCAAGTGTTCAGATATCAGAAGATTTGTTTTTCTGAGTCTCCTACAATAATTGGGTACAGTTTTGAATTCACTGATTCAGCATCCTCATCTGTGTGGTCTGTTTTTCTGAGAGCAAGGAGCCGTTTTTGTTGCTGTTCTCGACATTCAGCAGAAGTGCAGTGTTCATGTCTCGCTGTGCAGTGTCCCACGTGGCCTCTTTTAGATGCTGGGCCTTACCTTCCTTTTTGTTTTTTAATGTGGGTTTTGTTTTCCTCTCCCAGTGGCCAGGATATGGTGAGCATACTTCAGTTAGTTCAGAACCTAATGCATGGAGAGGAGGAAGAGGAAACTTCTCAGTCCTATCGGTAAGGCCAATATCAATTACTGTGTGTGGAGGATACCTGATTTTATTATGTCCTGATTATTATAGAGCTTATACATTAAAGTATAAGTTCTATTATGTATAAGTATATATAATTTCCATATATATTTAAATATTAAATATTTTCAGGTGTAAAATATGGTGCAACCAGGTAACTTTTTGATGGCACCTTACTTTGTATAATGAAGCAGAATGATCCATGAGGCTTGGCTTTATTAAAATTATAAAGCTTTCATTACTAGTAACTAAATTGAATTATACAAGGGAGTTGTTTCTGATGTGACAGCTCATTTTTTCTACTTTCTGAAAGTTGTTTTAAGTCTGAAAGTCTTCATGCTTTGAATACAGATAATTTTTTTTACCATGTATCTCTGCAGATTTAGAAATAAAATTTGTTTCCATTTTTCTGTCAAATGGAAATAATGCTAACTAATCTGCAGAAGATAATTGAAAACTTAATATCTGAAGAACATTTTGGGGATTAAAAAGACACTTAAAACCCACAAGAAAAAATAACCAACAAACAAAAACCCCCCATGAAACAAATAAAAACTGTGCCTCTAAAACTATTAAGTCTCCTGAGTGTCCTCTGCGTGGGGAGAGAGAGGGTATGTGTTTGATGCACTTTAAAGTCCCAATGCAGATAAGGTGCTTAGTTCCAGCTGGTGTTGGCTGATGGGCTCAAAGGCAGCTGAGGTGTTTCTAGGCCAAGTGCAGTGCAAGAGCTTCTGTGTGCACTGGCAGTTCAGTGTGTAATGCACAGTGGCAGGAGGGTGACTGTCATCCACTGTGCTTCTCTCTGCTAAATATTTAAATTGCATGTCAAGGAATTCTGCCACTCTACATTAAAAACTCATAAATCTAAATTTACTGTAATGTCCCTGGCTTGTATTTCATTGGCAGTTACTCTGCTCTGCCTTGCAGACTCCAAAATGTTGGTGAACAGGGTCACATGGCTCTACTGGGACATAGTTTGGCTGCTTATATATCTGTGCTGGACAGGGAAAGACTGAGAAAACTTACAACAAGGATCCTTTCTGATACTACTCTCTGGCTCTGCAGGCTTTTCAGGTGAGTCCCTGGGAATAAGTTATGTGTGAGTAGGTAATGATGATTGTTTAAAAATGGACTAGGGGTGTCAACAGAAGAACCAACACACTGTGCCACAAGCTTACAAATATTTGAAAGGTCTGAAACACAGCCTTAACTTAGCCTAAAGAATGTCAGGTTGCATTCTCTTTAAAATTAGCAGTCCAGAATTTACATATATATTAACACCAGAATGAAGCCTTTAGCGTGCTTCCTGCTGCACTCTACTCTTAGTAAGCAAGGTTTTGAACTGTGTAAAGGCAATCTTAGGAACCTAGATGTTTTTCCTTTCTTATTCTATCTTTGTGTCTAAATGAAAACATATACTAGGCTCATTGTTTAATCTTGGCCTGTCTTATCGAAGTTGTCTTCTAATCTGCTTTAACCTGGGAAAAGAGAAGGGTTTGTTATCATTTGTCCTCCACTGAGCTCCTTTGCTGGTCAGTGTTATTTTAGTCACTAGACTGGTTTTGTTGGTCATATTTTCTTGGCTTTTCTTGCAGGTATGAAAATGGATCAGCTTATTATCATGAAGATGATCGTGAAGGTCTCCTAAAAATCTGTCGCCTCGTTATCCACACGCGCTACGACGATTACACAATAGAAGGGTTTAACGTGCTCTGTTCTAAGCAGCCTGTCATATACATCAGTTCTGCAGCCAGAACAGGCCTGGGCCAAGCTCTCTGCAATCAGGTAAAGTCAATCAGTTGGGGATTTGGCTGCAAGCAGAGCTTGCAAGTAGGTCTGGGAAAAATACTTCCAGTTTTCATTTACTGCCTGTGTTTTGCAGCAGCATTACAGTGGGAGGAAGAGAAATTTTCTGCATATTTCCAATGAAAGGATCCTATGTGGTAACTTTTTAAAAAATGAGTGATTGTTTCTACATTGCACTGTGCTTTACATAAGATGTTGGCCGTGGTGCAATAGACCTGAGCCCAAACACACTGAATTATTGCAAAATTAGTACTGAATGATGCCCCTATACTGCTATGTTCAATAAATATTTATATTTTCTTAAAGAAACACTGTTGAGGGAGGAGTAGGCTGTGCTGATGCAATTTCAGAAGGTCTTGTTTGGGATAGTAAGATTACCCCCACAACCCAGCACTTTAAAGAAACCCCTTTTCTCCTAATTATGCTTAAAACTTACTGGTTTTTCCAAGTAGTTCTTTGCATGAGTGTTTGTAGACTTAAATGAGCTAATTGAGCCATATACAGACTTTCCTATGGCCTATCTAACATTTGGTGCACTGGGGATAGTTTTCAAACACAGCGTGCACTGAAAGGAAGAGTCAAGTTCTTGAGGCCTTTGGTTTTCAGACCCTTGGAAATGGCTGGCAGAGGTACTACTCACAACTCAAAAATGTGGACTGCAGAGAAGTGAAAATGGTATCATAGATGGAACTTGTCTCAGCCAAAATTACTTGGGAAGTAGGTGGTAAAAGTTCATTGAGTAAGTCAGTGTCCTTGGTAAGCCAAATGCTGATGGAAACTTTTTGATACAAGAAAATAGTGCTAAGGATCAGTATTTTGGGAGCCTTTTGCCTCTGAGTATAGAGTAGATTCTGCTGGTAACACTGGTGCCTTATCTTTTGTGTATAAGGTTACCTGGCCACAATTAGGTGATCACTGAACTTCAAAGTGATAACATTTTATCTTCAGTTTTGAGAAGGAATGTATATTGTAGTGCAGGCAACTGGAACAGAGTTATCAGACACTAATTCAGTCTCTTTTAGATGAAAGGACAAAAGTAAACAAGTCTGTAACTGTAGTTCTCTTATTTTGCTGAATCTTCTGTTCGGTGATGGGTAGGAATGATCAGCTGGATTTCACTTGTTTAGTGATCTTTGCTCAGTAGTGAAGTGACTGTCACCTTCCAGTGGGACATGGCACAGAGCACACGTTTGCTTGCAGGATATTGATTGCAGGGGTGCCCAAGTAAAGGGCTGAGTTTAGGCCGTTGTGCAGGGCACAGGGATCTCACTGAAAAATCTGAGTGCAGCTGAGACCACTCAACTAAAAGCTGACTATTGTTTTTCTCTGCTATTAATTTGATTATAAGTTTTAGCAGGAGACTTACTTTATAACATAAATAAAGGTTTCTATTGTCGTACTGGTTTCTGTGTATTTCTGTGAACACAGGAAACGAGTGTTTCTCAGTGGCTGAAATTCCATCATTTTTATTGCAGCTGGGGTTGCCCCTTTCCTGCATGTGCCGTGTGCCTTGTAACACTATGTTTGGATCTCAGCACCAAATGGTAAGTTTGTCTTTCCTAAGAGCTCTTTGGTTATGCTTTTTTTTTTGTTGTTGTTGGCTTTTTATTTTAGCCTCATTAAATGAATGTCAATTATGTCGTTAGGAAAAGCTTGTTAACATACTTTCACCCTCTAAGTCTTCTGTTTTATAGCTGCACAAATCACAGATGGAAGTTTTCTAAAAGCAGCTTGGATCCTGGTCTTGTAATTTGCAAAATATTTTTAATGGTATTTAAGTAAGGTGCTTTTTAGTGCAAGATTTCTAAACCACAAGTACTCAGAGGTACCTTTACAAACTACATGATGCATCTATGTTGTATTTTTCACAAGTGCTTTATTTGACCTTCAGATTATTTTGCCTTTGAGAAGAAGAAGCTGCAAGCCACAATCATGTCCATTTCTATTTTTAATGCATTTTTCCACTTCAGGAGAAACAATTTGGTGTTTGACAAACATATTGTTTTCTTATTGATAACAGGATGTTGCTCTGTTGGACAGAGTGATTAAAGATGATGTTGAGTCTGGAAAACTGCCTTTGTTGCTTGTGGCCAATGCTGGTAAGTGCTATGGACAAACAATAAAAGATAAACCCTGCTATTTCACAAATACACATATAATATAAAAATAAGAATATATTTGCTTAAGCAGCTTAGTGGTTGCATATCAAGAAATATCTTAATGACCACACAATAATTATGTGTCTAGAGGGGTTTTTATTTAGCTGATTTTAAGTTGGTATACTGCTGCAGTTCTGCTCACGTCAGTTGATGTATTAATATGACTATAACTTATTTTAGTGAGTGCAAATCTCTTGTTGAAAATCAGTTTCACGTTAACTCTTCAGAGTTTTTTGATGGATGTGCCATCAACTTTAGCTTGAAAAATTTCCTTTTTCTTCTAGTTAACTAAACGCAACTGCTCGTGAACAAAATTTGCCCTAAGTACAAGTGATGGAGGTGACTGTTACTTGCTTTGCACTTGGAAAAATATCTGAGATGTTAACCAGTACAAGAGGTGCTTTATGCAGAGCCCTGGTTTGCAGGCTGACCCTGTGTCATTCCCTCTCCCTGTCCAACCCAGGCACTCCCGGCGCGGGGCACACGGACAAGCTGGGCCGGCTGAAGGAGCTCTGTGAGCAGTACAACATGTGGCTCCACGTGGAAGGGTATGGGACTGGGAATTTATTCCTCTATAGCTGTATTCGTTACAAAGTCTTAACTAATTCTTAGCACATAATTTTACAGCTAATCAGCTGGTAGGGAGCCACAGGGCCAGCTTTATTTTTGTCATATTAAGCGTTTTATATGGTTATAATTTGGTCGTTTTGAGATAGAAATTGATTTACATACATAGGAAGAATTAATTGGAGAGGTTAGTTCAAGATAGATTAGTGATTGCTTTTATTCATATGGTAATCTTATCTGCCCTTTCTTTGAAGAGCTTGAAGTGTGAATTAAAAGACCTTCTAGGCCAGGGAGGCCTGAAAGACCTTCTAAGTGAGGGAGGACGTTCTACAGTGATTATTGAGAATGAGAAGGGAGAATGAAATGAGTGTGGAATAGATGACACTTTATGAAGGTTGTCAAGAAGGCTGCAGCAAGTGCAGTGTGCATCATAACTGAGAGGAGGATCAAACCAAGAGAAAATGAAATTCCAGGAACTCAGACAATGTTGGTGAAGACTCCAGTGCTCCAAGATTGAGCCTGGAGTAGAGAGAGTGTTTCTCTTGGTTCATAGTATAGTGTTATATTTCCATACTATTTATTTCTGATACGAAATTGATGCTAAATTATGAGTAGCACTTTAGGGGATGATTTCCCCAAAGGTTGGACGGAAACACTTTTAGATTGAAATGGATTTTTACTTTTGAATTTTCAGTCTTGGAATACCAAGTAGCAACATCTACTGCCTTGTTAATGAAAAATATATGAACAAAAATTACCTCCTTTTACACATCAACATAGAATATTTAAACTGCAGATTAAAATGCTGTCTGTTAATATGTATTTAATATGTTCTAAACCCACTTTTTCTTTCAGTGTGAATCTGGCAACTTTGGCTTTGGGTTATGTCTCCTCTTCTGTACTGGTATGTTTACTCTAGCTAGAAACTTAATAATGTGCTCTAGATTTTAAGGTCATGATCTAATGAAAATATATATGGCTTACATTCTGCTTACTGTAATAAACTTCAGGCAGCTACAAAATGTGACAGCATGACTCTTACCCTGGGTTCCTGGCTGGGGCTCCCAGCTGTGCCTGCAGTGACACTCTACAGACACGAGGATCCATCCTTGGTAAGTTCAGCTTCTCAGTCAAGACCCTGAAATCTTGATTTTGATCACGGCGTAGTGCCTTGTTCTTGATAAACATCTAAATTATAATTTGCAAAAGCTGGCAAAAATGGCAGCATTGAAGAGAGGTTAATAGTGTTCTGTTCATTTTCCTCCTTAGTCCTTGGCAGCCGGGCTGACATCGAGCCAGCCCGTGGAGAAGCTCCGTGCCCTGCCCCTGTGGCTCTCCCTGCAGTACCTGGGCCACGATGGCATCGTGGAGAGGATAAAACACGCCTCTCAGCTGGTGAGCAACAGCTTAGGAGTGTGTCCTGATAGCTGGCAGTAGATCCCTTTGATGACTGGGATGCATTGTAGAAGAATCAACTAAAAATAGTGTAGTTGTTGACAGCAGAGCACATTGGTTCATACTGTTACACACAAATGATGAAAGCAGAGGAGAGTGTTTGGGGGAAGGATGTGCTTTTACTGCTAGATTGTATTTTTTTTAATCAAGACATAATCAGTCTTTGTTCTTTCTAACCAGTGAAATAACACAGTCACTTCCTTTTTTTGTCACTTCTCTTAACTGTTTTTGCTTGAAAGCTGTTGAGAGAAAGGCTTTTTTATTTTTCTACTCTGCTTGGTATCATATTTATTTAAGTAATAGTAAATTACTTTTAGGAAGAAGGACTTCAAAACATTTCTTGAGATGCAGTGGGAAGTGCACTATTTTTGAAATTGAGTCCTTACCTTAGTAAAAATAAGGTCCAGTATAATGTGTTAGTTACAAAATGTGTTGTTTACATACAAAACACTTTCTTAAAGGTGCAGCACATACAGAAAATCAAAGAAGGGCAAAATGGAAATGAGAAGTCTCTGTAGTGGTTAGTGAAGAAGCTCTTGGCATGAAAGACCTAAAAGAGTGAGAGAGTGTCATTAGTCATTAAGATTTTGTGGCATCTAAGATTGATCTTAGTTTTTATAATAGTCTATTAATAGTCTTAAACCACAATGTAAGAATGTCTTTTGTAAGAGGAACACGTTAGGAGGCCACCAGAACCAGTGGCTCTGAGAGCTTTGAGAAAGTTAATTTTGCTACAGCACTGCTTTAGTTGGTCACTGGAGTTGTAACATCTCTGGAACTTTGTCAACAAATACACCAAGACTTTATTTTAGTGAAAAATCACTCTGTAGTCAGTGTCCTACTAGAACCAGACAATATTTTTCTCTTACATTCTAAATTTACAAATAAAAACTGGATGAGTCTCTGAGGTGTTGTAGGGGTTTGTTCAAAAACAGGAAGTTACTGTTTTTCAGAATAATCTTCAACTTCTAAAACTGTGTTTCTCTCATTTTTGTTCCCCCTCTGCTGTGGTCTTCTAGAGTCAAAGGCTGCTGGAAAACTTGAAAAACCTGGATTTCATTAAAACTTCGGTACAGTCTACTTCTAATGCTTTGGTTATATAGCTTAGTGTTTGTTAAATATAAGAATAACTTTGACTAAAATAGATATTTAAAAATATTACTTAAACCATAGCCATTGTTTTGAAGATGTTTTCTGACCAAGTTCAGTGAAATGTTTGTGTGTGACCTCTAGATTGTGTTTGTTCCACTGCTCTGTGCTCGTGCTCTCAGGAGCTGACAGAGTAACATCCAGAAGTTGTGCTCGGAAGTTGATTTAATTCCATTTAAAACATGGATTTTCTCAGTAATACATCTATGAAACCAGTTTCCATAAGTCTCTTTCATATATTCTGTCTGGATCTTACCCTGCTGTTGAGATCATCCTGAGAGCCCTGTGAAATTGTCTGCAAAAATTATCCCAGCTGAGGTTTTTACACCAGAAATAGCTTTAGAAATTACCTATAATATATTCATTCCAAATTCAGCTTCTGTGAGATGTTCTGTCCAACAGGGTTTGGTGATTTTACTCCCTGCCCCCATGCTCCCAATTTGAATTGACATTTGATGTATAGAAAATGTAGTCAGCTTACTGAGTAAGCTTTAGAGTATTAATGGCCTTGGAAGGTCAAGTTACTGTCTCACTTACCCTTTCCACTTAAACAAATCCTGCATCTTTAGGATTGTGAAATGCAGCCTCAGATTGCCTCCACCACTTGCCCAGTCCATTTCTCCTATCCCCAGGGCAGGATCAATTTTAATCTTATTATTCCTGCTGGAACTTCCTGGATGTTTCCCAATGATTCTGGGGTGATTTCCAAGAGAATTTTTTTAATGTTAATATCTGAAAATACTCAAAACTAAATAAACTTTTTAATACTTACTATAGTATATTTGCTAACAACCATGTTTAGATTTTATACTTTATAGTGCCCAAATTTTAAAGATGCATACCTTAAATGAATACAGTTCTGCCTTGAATGACTAATGATTTACTTTCATATGTTTAGAGATGTTTGCTTCCACTCCTGGAGTTCACTTCCAATACTGAGATAGTGTGAACATTGTTACTGCTGTCAAAACAAAATGCTCTTCTCACACTGTGCATAATAAGGAATTATTTCCTGTATTTTTTAAAGATTTAACACTGTGCATAATAATAAGGAATTATGCACAGTATTAAATCTTTTAAAAATACAGGAAAAAAAATATATATTTTTTTTTTTTAAGGTTGAAGATGAACTGAGTTCACCAGTGGTGGTTTTCAAGTTTTTCCAGGAATATTCAAATAGAGGTATGTGATTTATTGAAAACAGAACAAAACAAAAAAACACACCTCTTTACAGTATTTTAAACTAATAATTCACTAAATGAATCTGAGATAAATGTTATGTAGTGCACTTTGTGTAACATGCTTTTTAAAAGATTGTGAATGCTGGTCATAATCTAGTGGCAGAATCCATACACGTGACAGCTGCTTTTTTTAGATAGACCGCAGCGTTTTAAATTTTCATAACGAGTAATTTTCTGCCTTCTTGAGTGAGGAGAGATTTGCATATGATTTTGATCTTGAGAGCAGATGATGGAAGCCTCTCCCAAGCTGCAGTGTTTGACTGTACTGGTGGGGGAAGCTCTTGGTTTGTTCAGGTTTTCTGTTCCTTTCAAACACTTCGTGGCAGTGGCAAGCACCACGTGTCTCTGGGTCACTGGTTACACTTGGCTGCTGCAATAAATTAAAAACCAGCAGAATACATTAGGAACAGCTCTGGAAATGCTGTCACGGGTATCCAGGAACCACGTGTGTCTCTGAGCAGGACACCTGCACTGAGATGTGCTCCCAGAGAAGAGGATTTTGCCCCCTCAGTTACAGCAGAGGATGTTGCTGTGCTGTTTGTACGTGCACACCCTGAGGGGGGAACGTGTCCATGGCTGAGGCAAAACACTGCCAGAGGAACGTGTGGTTCTGTTGTGAGTGTTGGTTTTAATTGCCTGTGGATTTTTTCTGTTGGGCATGAGGGAGTATTGATTTGGGGTTTGATCTAATTAACAGTTGTACTCACAAAGTAAACCTATTCATCCAGCTCCAGTGACTTGGTGGGTTGCTTTGTGCATTGATTTGAAAAGCTTTCCTAGGGAGAAGTCACCCACCTGAATTACAAGGATGTAAAAGGTCCATTTCTGCATGTTTTATGTTTATAATGGACTCTTAAATTCTTAGTAGCATCTTTGTGTGGCTTAAAACCAAGTAATCATTAAAACTTGATTTAAAAAAAAAAAAAGGCTGAATGCATCAAATTAAATATTGCAGACTGCTGTGACAGAATTTTGCTTTGTGAAAACACTGAGTTTATTTCCACTGGGGCATTTGAACCTCAAAACTCAAAAGTATTTTTCTGAGTTTTTTTAAAAGAATTACATTCAACTCTGTTTTACTTCTAGTATTTATCATGTTCAGCATACCTCTGCAAAGAAGTCCTTGTGGGTCTGGTTGAGGCCCAGAACATGGTGTAAATGTGTTACATTATCTAGGAAATGTAATTGTCTTTTATCTAAATTTTTGGTTGCCTTTTGTTTAATTAAGTAAATAAAAATCCACTTCTGTGACTCTTTTTTATCTTTGGATTCAGATCAGACCTCACATGCTGCACAGGCCTCAACTATTCAGCACCCCATCATAAGCAACGAAAGACACATTTATGACACTTTCAATCAGTGGGTAAGAACTGATGCTTTTCTCTTGAGGGAAAGTGAAGTGACAGTGGAATGGTTCAGGGGTTCATTAGGATTTATAAACCCTTTGTTAGATTAGTTTTAAAGTTAAACTAGAAGGTATTTTGGATTTAAAAGATTATTTTGCTCTGAAGCAAAGCTGCTTTCACATTTCTGATTATTTTACACGTAATTACTACTGAAATCATTCCTGCATCTTAAGCTGTTGGCTTTTCTCTTGGTCTTGTGGGAATATATGAAAACTTTGGAATTCTTTTAAACCAGCCAGACACTCTGTTGACAATGTCTGCGTATTCTTGAATAGACAGCCTTATTTTCCAGCTCTGGAGGGTAAGTTGTAGAAACCTGTGCTGTCCGAGAGCTGAGCACATGGCTGGGATGGGTTGGTTGTGCTGTAACCATGGCACACTCAATGGCAGGGACAATTCTGCAGAAACTTATAATTTGTAACAATTGTAGCTTATCCTGAATTTTCTTAATTTTACGGATATGTCAGAGTCATATCCCCAGCAAGCCTGAAGTGTTTTGGTACAGGAACTGATTTTGAGAAATACGGAGAACTCTTTGCATGTGGTTCCCCTGAGCTGTGGGCACAGCCTGAGGCAGGGGCTGCAGGAGGTCATGGTGCTCTGTGTGCTTCTCTGACTGTGCCCTGTTCCTGCAGCTGGGAGAGCAGCTGGCACAGCTGGTTCCTGCCAGTGGAGTGGATGTGGTAGAGCTGGAAGATGAGGGCACGTGTGTGCGTTTCAGCCCCCTGATGACTTCTGCAGGTAACACTCACTGCATTCAACCCCTTGGAAAAGCTGGCATTTGCTGCAGGATTGTACACCAGTCTCCTGCTGTAAAAGCAGGGGTGCTCAAGAAACTCCTCCCCTGTGGTGAGGATTTTCTCACAAACAAAACAAAACTGTCTCAGTTTTATCGTTCTGCTGCACCTTGGCACCGGGTACAATGGTGGTGGCTCAGCTTTGTGGGTGACATTGCCTCACCACCTCTGCAGAGAGAGACTTTTACTGGTTATTTTTTAAATTCATTAGGAAAAGCAAGGGGAGAAGCTGTTTGCTTCTAACAGTTACATTCCTTCCCTGAGCTGCTAAACACCAGATGCCTGACCTTTCTACCCAGGGGCTTCAACACTGCAAGGTGCTTATGTTCAAAATATAGCTACTTTAGTAGAATAATTATTTACTAAATCTGTGGGGTTTTCTATAATTATTGGTTTCCAAAACCTGTGTTTTGGAAAGTGTCTTAAATTTCATGTTTAAGCCAGCACTGTTGTGCTACTTAGTTTAGCCTTGGCAGATGCACAGTGCAGTTTGTGCAGGGGCTCAGGGTGATGCAGTATCTCCTGTTAGCTTGTGGGGGGGAGTAGCTCATGTGAGAGGGTCCTAGTGTGCACTGAAAAACAGATTTTAGAATAAAATGACTTGGTGATGCTGTGATGTTTTGTTTCAAACCAGCATGGGAGCTAATTCGTGACCAGCTAGTCTATGGGAAGAGGATTTTTTTCTGATGCCAGCTACTGATGTAATGAAAAGGGATATTGTAACATATCCTTATTAGTTTGTAACATGAGAAAATCCTTTTTATTAGTTTTATATGAAATCCTTACGTCTTTTAATTTTGATGTATCAGGGGATAGATAACTGAAGAAAAAGACACAGATCAAGATATTCGATACTGTCTGTAAATTCTATTTATGACTGACTTGCAGAGAGCCTTCTTCACAGATTACTTAATTCAGATATCTCTGTGATGTCCATCACATATATCACTCACTAACACATCTGCTCTTCAGTTTTAGGAACTGAAATACAAGACATTGATCAGTTGGTGGACTGCTTGAAGATGAAGATCCCAGTATTGACAAGCACTCTGCAGCTGAGAGAGGAGTTTGAGCAAGAAGTGAGAAGAACAGTTGGCCTGTTGTATATTGAAGATCTTGGCTGGCCAGGGTTAGGTGTTGTAAGGTAAATTTTTTTCTTCATTCTATATTTGGATAGACTGTGTTTTAACAGGCAGAAATACGTGGTCTCTTTAGTTGTGATCTGGATGTATCATTTGCTGGTTATTATCTGGCTTTGCACCCAGTTGAAGCTTTTGAGGGCTTTATAATGCTATTTAGTTTGATTGTGTTTTTTAAAGAAAAGCTGAAGTGCTGTTTTAGCAAAATCAGGGCACCACTTGTAGCATTGTAGGCAGTTTGTGGCTCTGTTAGAGGGATATGTTATGTGCAAGTGCATCCTCTTTTCAGCCAAGGGTAACTTAGATTTTTATCTGTAATGGCACTCACTGATATGCTGAATAGCACTTGGAAAAAAAACCTCCAAGTGCCTGTTGTGATCCTTTGGGAAGGCTTCTGTATAGTCAAAACAGTTCAAGTATAATCAATATATCAACTAGAAATCTATTGAGTTTGCAGTAGCAGACTTGCCCCACCCCAGAATCTCTGTTTACAAACCAGTAAACTTGCTGATCTGAGCTGTAACATTCATAAAATACAGGAATTTATAGAAACATGCTAAATGTGCAGGTATTTTTGTATGTACTGTAAAGTAAAATTACTATTTTTTGGCTTGAAGGTACAACTACCACAGTGATGAGAAGAATGATGACAAACAAGAAAAAGAACTAGAAAAAATCAATACAGAACTTCTGAAGAAGTTAAATGAACTGGAGTCAGATCTCACTTTTTCTTTGGGTAACTGCACTATTTAAAAAACTTCTGTTCAAGCTAACAGTCATTGTCCTAGCTGTGTTAGAATGGTTTGATAGGTCATTACAGTGCAAAATTAGCTGCTGCCTATGTGGTTACTGCACAAAGAACATCTGTAACTGTTTGTTCCTCCCCCCTGTTTCAGTTGGGAAGTGTTCACCAAGTGAGCAAGGTGCACTGTTCCCAGAAGTACTTCTGAAAACTGATTTATGGGCAACTAGACCAAGAAGAGTTTCCTTGTCAGAAAGACTAAAAGCTGCAGTGTCCCTCTGTAAACTCAGCCTTCTCAGGTTGTGCTGGATCTAGTGAAAAGCAGATCTCATTCCAAACCCACTGGCACTGACGGTTTCACTGCTCTCTGTAGCTGGATTAAAAGCTTCAGATGACTTTTGTGATAATTAGCAACACTCACATTTACACAGTGCCACATGACAGCTGCAATAGCATTAATGTGCTTACTCAGAACTCTGATCTTTTTCCAGTCAGCTTTCAAGAATTAAGTGCCCTATGGATGTGGAACCAAGTAAGCTGTACATGGCAAAAAATTAAGGAGTTTGAAGCATATCTAACACTGATATTTATAATACACTCCTTGACTGTATAAAATACCCACTGTTTTTCTTGCTCAGATTATGTTTTCTGTCTTTGAAAACCTCCAGGGCTGAACTTTTTTGGTCTACATAATTTATACCCATGCAGATCCTGCCCTTAATTACTGAAGGGTGTGTGTGTATTAGGATTTCCAGATTGACACACATGAGTGTTGCAGCCATTGCAAGATTGTGCCAGATTTGTACATCACAAAGACTTGATTCTCCCTGTGCTCACAGGTCCAGAATTTGGGGGGCAGAAGAACTGTGTTTACATTGGAATGGTCACGGAGGATCTGGATGTGTCAGAGTTGGTTGAAACCATTGCAGCAACAGGCAGAGAAATTGAAGAAAATTCCAGAGTATGTATTAATAAGTCACAGAATATTTCAGTACCCTTTTTTTTCCCCTTTCATATTGGCTTCAGGACATGGTTTTGTTCTTTGTGAAAGTAAAAGTTGTACTCGCCCATAACAGTCTTATTCACTGGGGAAGGAGTGTTTTGTTACAGATGGTGATATCCTGAGGATGTCTGGATTTGTGTTCATGGTCCTGTGTGCAGTAGTTTTAATGAAAAACCTCAGTGGTACTGAAATAGACTCATTTAGTCACTAAAATTTAGGCTGTCAAAAAACAAAAGTTAAGGTGGGGGTTGATTGTGAGCTGGTGTGTCTCTTCACTGCTTGATATGGTGGGATTGAAATTCTTTATATACCAGTTTTAAGATAAAACTGTGCGCTAAAATATGTGAAAAACTCTAAATTGGTGGCTTTAAACCAGAAATTACAAATAATCTATTAAAGTAATAAAGCTGATGATGGAACTCCTATTTGTCAAAGCATTTACCTGAGTAGAGTTCTCCAAATGTTCTCTGAACCAGAATTCCGAAATGACCTGCATCACAAATGAACATCTGTCCCTTCTTTCCTTTAGTCTTGGACATTTAATTTCCTCACCTAAAAAATAACCAGAACTTCAGAACTCCTTGGCCTGTTTCTGCCCACAGGAATATGTTGCCACTTGCCCTGTTTAGGTGAGGGATGGTTGGTGCAAGAGGGAGGCTTTTAGAAAAAACCTACATCAGTTCCAGCCTTCCCTGAGGACATGAAGTAAATGCAGTAAAAGCCAGAACCAAAAGTGAAGATGAACATCTTGACTAGACCAGAAAACACACTGGTTCTTCCTGGTGCTCCAAGTGCAATTCCCTTGCACTCTATCCTGTAGCCAGTACCTCTGGGTATTGAGCTTTCCGTGGGGGTCAGTTCCTCACTGGCCTCTCCCCCAGGAAGAAGAAGCAACTTCCTCTCTCTCCTTTTATTAAGTGACAGTAACACAAAGTTTGGGCATTTTGGAGGAAGTGCCTGTCTAATCTAGACCTAGTGCAATATTAAAACCCATATAAATATATAGAAATTGGCATTTGTCTTGCCCAAACAAAACTGAGGCTCTGTTTTTTGATTCCTTGCCCCTGCAGCTCTCCCAGTGAACTGCCTGTCCTTTGCAGTGTCAAACGTGGCTGGTGCTGGCCTGGGCTGCCACAGGGACCAGAGTGGCAGCTGTTTATGAAATTAGAAAAACAAAGGGAACCCAGGCTGACATATACCTTGTTAGACTTGCTGTGAGGCTGGTTTAAGTCCCAGGTGCTTCTAGAAACCAAAATGTGCTCTATAAACCTAAAAATTCTTCCCAGATATTCACCTTAGTTGCTGAGCAGGTCTTTGAAGACTTTGGATCACAGGCTCATTTCTAAGTGTTAAGGAAAAAAAAAGTACCCTTCCTGTTTAAAATTACATTCTCTCCTCTGGGTTTATCTGTTAAAAATCCTGCAGTAAGCCTGTACATTCTTTAATTTACAGTCATAATGAAATAGAGATTGTCAAATACTGTCTTAAATTAGAAAAATATCTGATTACCCTGTCTGGATCCTGAAAACCTGAACTGAAAAGACAATTTCAAGTCTGAATAATATATATAATTATTTCTGGCTTTATTAGCTGTTGGAAAACATGACTGAAGTTGTTAGAAAAGGGATCCAGGAAGCACAGCTTCAGCTTCAGAAAGCAAATGAAGAACGACTCCTGGAGGAGGTAAGGCTCTAAACATCAGCTGTACTTGAGATAACTTGTCACAAAGGGGTCACTTGCTCACCAGCCAGTGTTGGGTTGTGCTTTGCAGGGGCTGCTGCGACAGATTCCTGTGGTGGGCTCTGTGCTGAACTGGTTTTCCCCCTTCCAAGCCTCTCCGAAGGGAAGGACGTTCAATTTAACAGCAGGTAGGGCTCGTGCACCTGCACCATGTTACACTGTTCTTGGGGCTGTTCCCAGTTTGATACTGAACTTGCAGCACATTCCTGTGCTGGTTGGATCATGAGTGACATGATCCACCCTCAGGATGTACAAGAACATATTTGTAATTCATGTCTGGTGACGTGGAAGGAGCTGCCTTTAAGCTTTTACATCATTGAATCTGATGTACCCACATAATACTTTCTGAATTTATAAATTTCCACTATAAAAATACTGTGGCAGAATTAAGAATGAATATTCCTGGACTCAGCAGTGCCTGTCACACCTGGCCTGGCTGTCTGTGTGTCTGTAACCTGCAGGGAAGACTTCCTGCTGTGCTTGGGGCCTTTCTGACTCTCAATGCACCACCGGGCAGGTTCTCACAGCAGAGAACAGCCATGTTCCCCTGGGAATGCTGACCCCTGCATGGTTAGATACCCCCTCCATGTGCACTGCTCCATAGCTTGCAGCTGGGAAGATGTCAAGCGCCCAGGGGAGAAAGGAAAAGGGCCTGCAGGGTGTAGCAGTGTTGTGAGTGAGTGTGAGGGGAAACCATCCATTTCTGAAGTGTCAGCGCTCCTGTCCCCGGGTACTCAGAAATGGATCCCCCACCCCGTGGCAGTTTGAACTCAACCAGCACATGCACTTTCAGAAATGTGCATTAACAAGAAGACTGTTACATACCTTACAAATGCAAACAGAAAACTGCTCCAGCCTGGGTTGTAGTCAACTTCTTTTTTTTTTTTTTTTACCCACAGGCTCTCTGGAATCCACAGAATCCACATATGTGTCAAAGGCCCAAGGAACAGGCACCACTCCACCACCCACTCCCACTTCCAGCCTTGCAAAGCAAAGACTTCCTGGTAAGTTTCTGTGTCTTAGTTAAATTTCTAAAACTCGATAAAACATCCTGAGACAGGATGAGCCATGTGATTTTCCATCTTTCTTAATATCTGGAACTGGAGCTCATCTCCTACTGCCTTAAAAACCTTATTGTACACGTGACACAGACCACCACCCTAACCTCTTTTCTCCCCCCAAATTCTTCCTGGGCCTACAGGAAGTTGTTATCCCAGTAGCTGACAACAGTCCATGAAATCTGGAATCTTCCTCTAGAATATTATGAGGTTATTGAGCTTAAAAAACGAGCAAGCAACAAGCCAAAAGTTCTATTTGAAATAAAAGCATAACATCATGTAATCATGTACTTCAGCAACTGCATTTCTATTGCCACCAAATATTTTGTGGACAAAGTCCTTCTAAGGTGAAGATCTGTTAAATCTATGGCACTCTCTGCATAGTTGTATTAGTAATCAATGCTGATCTGATTGGCAGGAAACCCACAGTTTTAACTCACCTTTTGAGCTGGTGGCTTCCAGCCTGTAGTTTTCTATGCAGGTTTTTTCCCTGGAATGACTTCAGTGTGTGTGTAGGCAGTTTGGTTTCAGCTCAGTTTTACCTGTCTCTGCATATACAGGATACAAGGACAGGTGCTTTTACTTTGCAGACCTGTCTCTAACTGCAAGGGAGAGTGTCTATATTTAGGTACAAAGTTGCACCCAAACAAAACCTATTTTTTTGCAGTTGTAGAATTATGACACTTCCTTTGAACTTGTGCACAGCACTGTTTGTGTTTGCTGCCTTCATGGGTGTTGTGTTCTTCAAACACTTTGCAGGTCAGAAAGCTTTTAAAAGGTCTCTAAGAAGCTCTGATGGGTTCAGTGAGACCAGTTCCATCAGCCACTGTGATGACCTGGAGAGGATGGATCAGAGACCCCCAGCTCTATCCCCCAGCCACGAGCAAGGACCTTTGGAGACACAAAAACCAGAGGAGCAGAAGGAGGTGGCACAGGCACAGACAAACACTGAGGACACTCACAGTGACAAATCACCACCTGACTGTGCAAAGGGAGAGGAACAAGCAAGTGAAAGATAAAATCCAGTGTGGATTTCAGACTTTGCCAAGGCAGCCCCTGCCCAGGGAGGCAGGGTGTTAATGATGCATTGAAAATGTGAACAGTGCCACACACTAGTACAGTAATAACTACTGTAACTTATTAACTGGGATTTTGCACAAATATAAATTCCCTCCCCTGGGACAGAGATTTGTCTTATCATACTCTTGTTACAGTTGCTTTAATCCTCTACATGTCGGTGTCACCAAAGCAGTAGTGAAATTTATTAAGTGCTCATAAACATTTGTAAAAACACTTAGCAATTATCCTTCCTGCAGGAATCTACGCATGGTAACACTTGCTAACGAACCCATCAGCCATGCCCATGGTTAAAAATACAGTTGCACCCAATGATTATACTACTACATCTTATAACAAAACCCCCCAAGCAACTGCCAGTTGTTCACCTATTTACAATTCAGTTTAACCTCTCCTGCAGTCACACTACTGCCTTGCTTCCCTTTTGTTACCTTATCCAGCACCTTGCCCAGCAGCCGTGGCGGCGCTGGGAGGGCCGGGCCCGTGTAAATAGGGGGTCACTGAGGAGTGCTTGGCCAGCGACCATTTGTTCTGCTGTTGTGCTTCACACACCCAGCCACAGCCCTGGGTACAGTGGGGACCGAGTTCATGAGTTCTAAGCCTTTTAGAAAGAAATAGTGCCTCTGCATGCCTGACCAGCTCCCTGCTTCCACCCCTGGGAAGGATCACCAAGGCACCGTTGCGTTCCTTTGCACGGCATTGACACCAAATCCGCTCGCACACGTTGATGTGGTGTAACTGGAGTTCTTTCTGTTGTGTATTTTTAAAGATAGTTGTAGTAAAGCTTGAAAAACCAATACATTTGTGACGGTTTCAACACTTATTTTTTGAATAACAGTAACTTACCTATGGTAGGAATTGTACAGACTCTAAAGAAACTATTTAGGTTATTTACAGCACAGCACAACTTCAGAGTGTCTGGGACTACTTTGGATAAATCCAAACCCAAGGTCTAAAAGTGTTTTCCCTCTGGATCATCTTAATCACTTCACTGCAGAGTTTCAGAGCCTCTTGTGGAAAGATCTCTGGCAACACTTGCTTTCCTTGAGTCACCTGATTTTGATGCAAACCATCCCATCCCTGTAGAACTGGATACAAATACTGGGTTTTTTCTTCCCCTCCTGATGGGTATCCATTAATACCATAATGGCTGTAGTGGTCCTGGGGCTTACTTTGATAATCTGAAAAATTTAGGGTTTTTGAATTGTACTGGCACCTGATTTGACTCTCAGCTCCTCAGGCCTGCAGGGCTGGGATGCCACGAACAAGGTTAATTTTGCTGTTGGGGTAATTTATGTAAATCAGTGCAATTTTTCTAAAGTGCAAAAGCAATTAAGTTGACTAGTCTTCCTCCTTGGTTTCTTTGGTGCAATGAAGTATGTTAATAATAAGAGTAATTTGTTGGGGATGAAGTTATCACCACAAAGATTACTTTTTAATGTTTTTATATTTGGAAGTGTTAAATCAGTAAGTTTTGTTGGAATGAGCTTCATTCTTTAGATACTTACCTGAATGTTTCAATAAAGATTCTTCAAATTATCACTCTGGAATTAAGTTCTTGTTGAAGGACACTTCCCTACCTTTCAGCAAGCTCTAAGTAAGTGTGTGCAGCTTCCTTTCACTGTGTGTGCAAAATCACTTTCTGAAGTGCACACCAGTGTAGTGACTCACCTTCTCAGTCTCCAGCACTGCCCCTCTCTACCTGTGCCCATCAAATTACTGCAGTGGAGCAGCAGAGCCTAAACAAAGCCAAATTCTTACTTCAAAAACCCTGATTCCTATGTAAGTAATGCAGAAAAAGCAAGTTACTTCTATCAAAATATTTTATTTTGAAAAGCACAGGAACAATGGTATTTGTGACCAGCAGTATCCTTTTTACAACAAATTGCTCATCTTGCAAGACTGTACTTCCCTAAAGCAGTTGTAGTGGTTGGGTCCAGGTTAGATCTTGTCAGAACAAACCTGTTCCCACAACCCTTCTTTGTTTTTCTTGTAGATGCGAGGTTTGCTGTCAGGGAACAGGGACCGAGATGGAAAGGGATGTGCTTTTAGAAATGTTAATGTAGATCGGATGTGGGAAACAAAGTGGGGTGGCTCAGCCAGGGGCGAAGTGGAAAGATTCTGAAAAAGAAGAGGGGAGCAAGAGCTGCTTGATATTCAGAGCACAATGTTCTCCAGATCCTGCCTTCCAATAAGGATATTCCCCACCCTCCCGGGGCCAGCAGTGCATTGGAAGAAGTTCTGACAGACTGCATCCCCTCCTCTACTCAGCCAGAAGGGGAAAAAATAAAAAGCTGTTTCAGGTACCTGTAAAATCTGGGCATCATCCTGTTCCAACCAGAAGTCCACGTGTGGGAAAGGCCCCCAGAAATAAGGCCCAATACGGAGCTGTTCCGTCTTTGCATCGTAGATGTTGGTGAGCTGTAAGAACACAGGGAGCCTGCAGGGTCAGACAGGGCTCACACTGGCAAAGAGCACATTCCCTTGGTCTGAGGGCCTTGGGCTCAGCTCCTGTCCCAGAGAGACCGTGGGCCAGCTCAGCCCTTCCTTCCGACTGCATTACCTTGATCCAGTTCTGACAAACGTGACATTAAACAGTAACAGCAAACCCAGAACCCAGAGAATGCTACCAAAGGATTTTGTCTCCTCAAACTTTGGATGTTTGTCCCAACTGGTCTCCCCTTCTGACAAAAATACCGTTTCCCCCCCCCTTATTTTTACTCACTGGTGCTCCTGTTAAAACATGGGCTGAACGCAAATCCTCATCCGGCCCTTTTTCTGGGAAGGTTGCAGGGAAAATCTCTGCTGTTTTAACATTCACAGCTGGGAGGAAACAGAGATTGAAATACGGAAACAATTAATTCCTACAAGGCACTTGTTTACAGTGACCATGTCCCCAGCACAACCGTGTTGCACAACTTCAGAACCCATCACGCTCTGTTGTATTTCTCAGACCCCTGAGCCTGCAATAGCACATTTCTACTCCATTTCCTTTGACAGCATTTCAATAGTCCACAGATGCGTGAACTAATTAGAAGAAACACTGAATAATCAATAAGAAGGTTGAATTCGAAGCAGAAATTTAGTGCAGTAGCTTGATATTGATAAAATCATAAGTGCAGTTAAAGGAAAAAAAAATCTGCTTGCCTTTGTACACAGCCCCTCCTACATGTGCAACTGTGCTACCACAAGACAAGTATTTCTACCTTCGCCTCTGACAGCAGCTTGTAACTTTTAGGATGGACTTCAGCCAGTCATTAACTATGAGCCCATTTACCAATGGAATCTGAAAAGCAACCCAGTTACAAAATTATAATTAAATTCTAATTTACTCACCTATTCCATAAATGATTGGAAAGTGAATATCTTGTTCTTCTCTATCATTTAGTTCTATTAAGAAAAAAAAAAAAGAAATCAACTTGTAGGACTTCGGATTGTTCTGTGCGCAGCACTCATTTAGTTGTTCTCTGATAACATACAACAGATCTGTTGTTGTAAAGACAGAAAAAAACCAAGGAAGCCTAAAAGAAATATGGAAAAGAAGGTGCAGGTGTAGGTCTGCTTGGGGCCTGGAGCAGAGCTGTCTCCAAACAGAACAGCTGGCTCCAGCCAACTGCCCCCCACTTCTGCATGGGCAACTTAGAGGGAAAAAACCACAATGCAAAATGACCACAATGCCAGGTTTCAAAGATGTAAGTCACCAACAGCACTGTCACAGAAAGAGGATGGAAATATGACCTCAACATGATATAAAGGAAAGGAAATAACTTCCTCTAAAGTGACATCACACACTATGAACTAACTGAAAGAGTTAATGAGTTCACTGGACCCTGCAGGGAGGCAGGTCCAGCAGCCCAGCAGAGCAAAGGTCTGCAAGTGCCCTTCTCAATTGTCTCATAAGATCTCCACAGGTACAGAGCCTGTTCCACAGGGCAAATGTGCCAAAATAACCTGGCCAGGATCACGAGTGGCTCTGCTATTGGCTGCAGTGCAGCAGAACTTGGTAAGGAGAGAATCCTGCTGCGCTGGCTCTCTGCCATCACCACACACACCGAGCACAAGAAAACTAACAATTACAAACGGTTATGGAGGACTTGTGCTGGTCTGTCTTACAGGACAGATAAAAAGCCATGAAAAGACCTCTGCCCTTTGATTTCAGTAGCTAAAGGTACTTCAAAACCCAAAGAAAGATTTTCTTACCTGTTACACAGAAGGTCACTAAGTGAACATCATCTGGCTGGAGATCGAACGCTCCTACGGCAACAAGGACAGTGCAAAGTGTGAGTGAGGGTGGCAGGGCAGGGCTGGGTGGGCACACACCTAAACCACTGCTCCTGGGGAGGGCACAGCAAACAGCCTTTTGCATGTTTGCTTCAAACTAACAGCAATTTACAGAGAGGAGCCATTTGTAATAGCAAAAACGTGCTAAAAAAGTGTTGTGCCACTCACTGCTTTTAGTGACACTGGTTTAGCTCTGGCATCACACCAGCTCTGATTTAGTTCACTATACATATTAGGCAGCTTATATTTAAATGTTTTTTCCTAAAATGTTACATATATAGCAAGCAAACCCAGTCTTTCACTAGGTGTAAATTAAATCTGCCTTTCACCATCTTAAACTCCAAGAAAAAATTCCTCTTTTTTTCGAAGTTCTGACAGCAATACAACATGATTGATTCAAACTGTAACTTGATGTGTGAGAATCAGAAGGTTGAAAAAATAAGTTAACCAAAACACCTTTTTCTGTACAGAACTCTCATATAACATAGACCAGGTGTAACAGCCATGAGGCTGCAGCCCAGGGCCTTTGCTGGTTCCGTTTTCCTTTTTGTTTATCCCCTTAAACACCTCCCTCCAATCCTGACACCTGCCCCATCCCTCCTCCCTCCCCATTCCAGTGGGGCTGAAGCCTCTCCATACTCTAAGTGCTCAGCACAAGGCAGAGCACTTGCAGGTAGGCAGGTACTTTATGTTTCCAATCTGTTAGTAAAGCACTGCCATCACTACTCTGGACTGCGGATTTTATAAACAGACCTGACATTTTTCATCAGGCAATTCCAAACAATAATTAAATTTTACCTCATCTCATTAAGTATGAACTGAATGGTAATTAATGAAGTCACCCACACTCACAGATTTGGAGAGTGTCACCACTTGCCCAAGATCACACAGCGGATCAGGAGTCAAGCCCAGCTGAATTGTGCCCCAGCTCTCCACAGCGGAATATGAGCCAGGGGGAAATGACCAGCTCAGACCCTGCATCCCACACACTGCCCAGGGAGCAGCCCCAGCAGCCCAACCCTCTCCACACCAAGTTTTCAGGCACAGAAAAAAAACCCTTCAAAATGAATCCACGTTTCTTTCCAGTAAATGACTGGGGACTCAGATTACAAACAAACTTTACCCACATCCAGCCAGAACTATTGTTTTTGGACATGAGAGTGGAAAAAAAGTGAACTTACTAAGAAGCTGATTAGTAAGTTTTTGTGATAACTGCCTATCATCATTGAAACCTCCAACTAGGTGCACTTCCAGCCTAACAGAGATGGAATAACAGGAAACAGCAATTAAAAAGACATCTCAAAATGAATAGCTTTACAAAATAATCCCCAGCCCAAACTGCAAAGCAATCATTAGAGAAGCCTTATTACAATCACATGCACCAAGCTGGTTTGCATTACACAGCAAGTTATGGTAACTCCATTCTCAACACTTGAGGGATCATAAGGAAATGGCACAGAACAAAAGCTTTAAGAGGCATTACATACATGCAATTCTAACCCATGGGTATCTCTGATGGTCAGCGTGGAACTTTGTAACCACCTTTCAGTTCCCAGAAAGGGTTAACTAAACATGAAGATTTTTTTCCCATGACCCCCTCACAACTATTCTGGACCATGCAGCAGGGTTCTTCTCTGAGAAGTGTCTATGTAAAGACAAGTCCTTACAAATCATGAGTTTTAGAGATCACACCTTCTAAGTTCATTTAGTTTTTGTTCTTACCAAACTGCAGGGTCAAAAACCTCCACATCCAGAAAGAATCTTGTTTGCTGAATTTCATTTCAGAGCTTTTTACCCATTGTCCTGTCCCACACAGCCCTTTTTTCTTTTTTTTTTTTTAATGTGGACTTAGAAAAATCCCAGATGGATTCTCAGATACCAAAAAGAATTTACAAAATTAACACTCTGTAAGGAAAAATATAAACTAAAAAAAACCAGTTATTTGGAAAATTTTGCACATCTGAAACAAAAGTTAACTGGGAAACAATAAACAAACCTCTCAGTGGTTTTACAGAGACACCATTAAGAATAGAATTGTGCTTTAAACGACTGCTAAAAACAGCCCTAAAATCATCACCAAGGAAATAATTTTCACTTTACATGTGGTTGCTGATTAAGAGAAGTTTCCTGCACAATGACCTTGCCTGAACCCCATATAATCACACAAAAATTCCCTGCTGTATAAGCTGCAGCAGCCTTTGTGCAAAGCAGTACACAAGAAAGGAGCAGAGCTGACCTGCCACAGCCCGTGGTGTTTGAGAGAGACTTTACTGAACTCATGATGAGCGACACCTCGGCCTCCGTGTCAGACCCGTCACAGTGTGTCAGGCAGGTGGCTCCGCTGCCTGGGGAAGGCACCAGAAGACAGTGACTTAGTGACTATTTTGTTAACAGTAATACTTTACCCTGCTGCAGGACGGCAAGAGCTGCACCCACCACCATCTGCCTTCCTCTTGGGACAGCAGCCTCTGGCAGAGGACACGGGCTCATTGAATGAGGCAACAGCCTCTGCACGTGCCCACTGTAGAACCACAGCTCGTGTCAGGGGTACAAGAGCCCTCTAAGCAGGACCAGGACCCGTCTCTAATGTCAGAGACCCAGGCATGTAATGAGGATCTTCCCACAAATCCCACCTCCGTAATTTCCAAACCCCGCTGCCACACTGCTGAGCACAGCCCAGGGCTGCAGTGCCACTGCCACGGCCACAGGGGCAGAGCAGGTTAAACATCTGCTCACTGAGCAACCACAACGCTGAGCCTCTGACACCAAAAACACCCCCTCTTCAAACAAGTAGTTTAGTTAACATTTATGTGACTTTTGGAGATTCAGGTTTACACAAATGTAACTGCAGTTTATTTTATTAATGCCACATAAACCAATACTAATTCCTTACTTCAGGGGGACAGGTTTTGTTCTGAACATCCTTTAAGGATACCTGTGTGTCGGAGCACAACTATGTGGCAGGTAGTTGCATCATCTGATCCAAGAATAGAAACAGAACCTATTTTAAAGGAGAGAAACACCATAAGAACTCCCTTCACACAATCACTGCTTCAGCAGAAGAGCAAATGTTTATGTTCCTACACACCATCTTTGGGGGTGGTCACTGCAAACTCTCTCTGCTGGACATAGAGGAGGCCTTTGGGTTCCACAGTCTGAGCAGGCTGACTTCTCAGAAGCTTTGCCTTTTCCTAAAGATAAATGATAACAAAGACTACAGTGGCTGAATTCTCAGATGTATGCATTGCTTGACAGAAACATCACCTCTGAAAAGCAAAGGGACTCAGGTCAGAGAGAAATGCGTATTTTGGATTATGGTGTATTCTGAATTTTGAGAAGTTTTTGCTTACCTGCCACTGATCAAGTTAACAGTTAAATCCCATCATTCCAGAGACACACAAAACACTTTTCCTTGTTTTACAGACCATAAAATGAAGGCACAACAAAAAGCATTTGCACTCGGCAAAGATTATACAAGAGATAACACCAGAGCTTTGGAAGTTTAATCAGGAAAAGAAACTTTGGAAATGTAGAAGTTTCAGCCTTCTACTGCCACAATCCATAATATTTACTTAACACTTATCAAAATATCGCTGTCTATTAGCTTGCCTGGTGCAGGGAAAACCCAGATTCCTGGGCTATGACTACTGCAGTGCTTCACCACAGACCCGCCGGGCAGGAAGCGGATTTCCACCCTGGGAGCTCAAAAAACACCTCACAGTCCTATCAGATTTGCCCTGGTTTTCTGCATAAATTCACGTTCTACAAGAAACACCTTTTAGTGGCAAACACCTTCCCAACCAGCTCTGCTCAGCATTCCTGGCTGGCAGTCCGCCGCTGGGATAATAACACGTACATAACATTTATACACTGTAAGCGAGGTTAGCACCTTCCCCACAGTGACCGCCTTGCCTTTATCGCCAGTTTTTGTTATTTCGGGCAGACCGGGCCCGGCCGAGGCAGCCCCAGCCCGGCCGCTCCGCTCGCACCCGGGCGGTCACCGCCGAGCCCCTCCCGGGGACACCGATTTTATTGATTTCCGTCCCCCCGTGTTGTCACAGCGGTGCCCGGAGCCGCCCCCGCCCCGCCCGGCCGCGGGTTCACGCCCCGGGGCCCCTTCGCTCACCTCGAGGTGCGGGTGTGCGCGGATCATGTCCCCCGTGGGCCGGGACAGGTCCACCCGCGCTCCGTTAACCAGCAGCGGCATCTCGGCGAGCGCCAGGCCGGGCCCGGAGGCGGCTCCGCGCTCCCTCCTGAGGCCGCGCCGGGCCGGGCCGGGCGGCGCCGCGCGGGGCGCTGGGAAAGCGGGGCGGTGGCACCGGCACCGCCCGGGGCCCGGCAGGGACCGGCACCGCCCGGAGCTCGGCAGGGACCGGCACCGCCCGAGGCTCGGCAGGGATCGGCACCGCCCGGGGCTCGGCAGGGATCGGCACCGCCCGGAGCTCGGCAGGGACCGGCACCGCCCGAGGCTCGGCAGGGATCGGCACCGCCCGGGGCTCGGCCCCGGCACCGCCCGGAGCTCGGCGGGGTCTGAGGCGAACTCGGAAACGCGCCCGGGCTCGGCCCCGCCTGAAGATTTAACCCGGTAACCTCGCAGAAATCCGCCCCTTCTCCCGTCACTGCGGGGTCACCCGTAGGTTATGGTATGAAACCGGTTTGGTAATAACAGCGATAAAGCCCCGAATTCACAAATCACAGAATCAATTAGGTTGGAAAAGACTTCTGAGATCGCCGAGTCCAACCTCTGACCGAACACCGCCGTGTCAGTCAGGCCGTGGCACTCAGTGCCAAGTCCAGTCTTTCCTTGAACATCTCCAGGGACGGTGACTCCACCTCCTCCCTGCGCAGCCCATTCCAATGTCTAATCGCCCTCTCTGTGAAGAAATTCTTCCTAATGTCCAACCTAAAACTCCCCTGACGCAGCTTAAGACTGTCCTCTTGCCCTATCACAGTTGACTGGGAGAAGAGACCGACCCCCACACCACCATCCTCCACTCCAGCAATCACAAAATTAGGTTTTCAGACAATCCCAAAGACGACCGTTTTTCCTTTAAGACCAGGGATTTTTCCTCCAGTTGTCTGTGTAAGACAGCAAGAAAGACCACTGTGGTAGCAGCAGTTCCCCTGCAGGGAAGAGTGGACAGCCAGGCACCAGGACTGTCCACGACCCACAGAAAACCCCCAGCTCGACCTTTCCATCCACTTTCCCAAAAGTAAACTGGAAGTGTTTCAGGCCAGGCTGGAGCAACCTGAAAAATGTCCCTGCAGGGGGTTGGAACTAAATGATCTTTAAGGTCCCTTTCAACCCAGGCCATTCAATGATTCAAAAGGTACACTGAATCTCTCAGATGACATAAAATTCCACCTCCAAATCAGCATTCCTTTCACTGGTATTTACAAAGTCTCTTTAGCAAAATGCCAGCACCTGCCAGCACACCTGCCTGCACTTAGACTGAGCAAAGCACAGCTGAGGGTCCAGAAACACTTCAACAAGTAAAAACTGCAATTTCAGTACAGACAGTTCAATGTCTGCATACTTTTTGACATTATACTACAGTTACAGGGATTTTTTTGTTGTTTTTAATGAAACATGGAAGCTCCTGAATCACATACCTGGTATTAAAACTGCAGAAGTTTTAGCCTCATATTGGAAGAAGCAGCTGAAAGGCATATTTGAAATGATGTTTTTCTTGCTGTTGATCTGAGAAGGGTTCTTGCATGCCAGGAGAAAATGCAATTATTTCAGATGGAAATCTATTGTTTATTACTCAGGACTGACAATAAAGAGGACTAAAATTAAACACAAAAACTCAGTTTATACAATGATGAACAGATTCACTGATGCACTTTGCAATGTCATCCCCAGGACTCATTTCTGCAGTCTGTCAGAACTAACACCCTGGCTTTGAGAAGCCAGGCTACAGAGAGCACCTCAGTTACATACAGAAATGGGGTTTTCTCAAATGTGTAAGTATTGCACTGTTGGCATCACTCTTTATTGGCTCCAAATAAAAATGTTGTCTTGAAAGCCTCCAAGTTCAGATTCTAAAGAAGGGCAATTAGAGTTTAGTCCAAATGCATAAAATTTTCAACTCAGTGTTACACAAATAGCATTTTTCCCCCACTGTTTATATTTTTACTTAAATCTAAAAGCCAGCAACCATGAAAAGACAAAAAACTTCAGCAGAGAAACTCAACAGTGACTGACACATGGACAACACAAGGACACCACTGACACCACTTTCTTTCCACAAGGAAAGATTTTTTTTTTTCCTATTTTCAGCATTCACATATAAACTTCAAATCCTGCAATAAATACCTGTCTCATAGTGCTTCATAAGCACTCCAGAGAAAACTATCTACAAATAATACATTCAGCTACTCCCTCATTTTCATTACTTCCAACAATCATCACTTTTACATGTCTGAACTTTCATAGCTGGGAAAGGTGCGTGTCAGCTACGGATTTAAGGAACATTAGTGCTTACTGTCTGAGTACACTCCACTATCAAGTGGCTTCACCAAATACTGTTCTATAGACAGGAAAAGCCTAAGAGATGTGTGTAGAAGAACCACTGCCAGACTGGTTCATGGCCTGCCTATCGAGGGATCACACCTTTACTTTGAAACCAACTCAAGAAGAGTCGTCAGAGTAGAGCCTGAACACTGACAGGGGAATTCTGGCCCCCACACAAATCAGCAGGAAGAAATACCAGAATTTCACCTCTGATATATAAAACCTTGTAGAGAAACATTAGTAAACAAAGTTTTTAAGAGTCAGGAAAAACTATAAAAAAAAAAAAATCCCGTCAAAGTCATAAAAACCATTTCAATGTGAAATTTGCAAAGTATCACCCTATTTATTCTCTAAGCTTTTCTAGCAACGTATGACTCTACTATAACATATCTGTAGAAATCTGATGATTAAGAAACAATAATTCTTCTCAAATGTAGTTACTTAAAACATTTGCCAGCTTGGAAATTTGAGCTAAAGTCTCTGTAAAGAGTGAAACATTGCACACAAGTTTTCAGCCTTCTCACTTCTGACGCCCCGTGTCACGGAGGGAACGGCACGGAACAGTCTGGAGGGGAGCCAATGCTGCTCACGGGGCTCCGGGTGCTGGACTCATAGGAATTTGGAGCAATTCCAACCACACCATCATTTTGAGGGGTTTCTCCTTTCAAGAAGTCGTCATCTTCATCTTCAGAAGTACCCTGAATAAATTTTAAAGGATCAGTGAGAGCAGAAAGATACTGTCAAATCTTAAGAGACCTGGATTTACACTACGATTGTCCTGACCAGTTAGAATGGTAAGAGAATTAGATGTACTCTCATTGTGAAATATGGAAACTAAATCACATCTAGAGTGGATTTCCCAGTGACATCATTGTGTCCATATTCTGAGAGTGTTCATAAAGCTTTCACAGGGGTCCTGTGCTGCAGGAAGAGGGGAAAAGTGCTCAGATCAATTCTTAAAGCTTTCAAATATCAATCACAGTTTAGTGTACTCATGCCTACTTTAAAAAAAAAATCCTGCAATAGAAGAAGCTGACAGAGATTTGGAAAAAGCTAAACTGTGTTTTCATCAGGAAATATTAGAAAGATTACCTTTTTAATGGGTTTCTTTAGATTCTCAAGATCTTCAGCACTCAGCTCTTCCCAGAACTGATAAAGAGGATCAATGGTCTTCTTTGATCTGAGAGAGGAATCAAAACACAGAATGAGTTAATATATTCAGTAGAAGTTATATATATTTCATTTTAATAATACAATATAAAATGCTTTGACATTTTGATAGCCCTCTCTAGGATTTTACAAACTGCTCAATTAATCCCTATATAATCCTCAATTAATCCCATGAAAAAATACCTCCATTTTGCTGATAGGTATAAATCACAAAGGTTTGCTCGAGGACTTCTGGTACAGTCATGTCTCCTAACTCCTAACTGGGTATTTTTGACAGCTGCTCTATGCTTGCAAAAAAAGCCTAATTTTCTTCCAAAAATTTAAATATTATAGAAAAAACTTTATTAATAGTATTCTTTTGTTGTTATATGAATATTAATATTATTAGTAGTCTCCCTTCTGTGGAGATGGATTTTTTTTGTTTGAGACAATAAAAAGCCAGAATGTTGCCCTCTACCATAAAAAGAAAGGTATTTTAAATAAGCTGAAGTCACCAATCAAGAAGCAATATACTGACAGTGCAAAAAAACCCCCAAAAAAATGACAAAAAAAGGACACATCACCACCATGGTTCCGACAAAACATGATTTAGGCTAACACGACATTTTAGAGGCTGCTTACAACAGAGAAAAACTAAAAATCACCAAACATATTAACTAGGCCTTCCAGGAAAATGGATCCTGTTCCTTCTTCATTGCTATCTGTCACAGGAGGGGTAAATTTCAATTCAAACCTTTGACAATCTCTGGTTAAAATACGTAATATGAGAAGTACTAAAGATCAGTGAGGAAAGTGAACTGCAGAAACACTGACAGTTTCCTACAGTTTTTATTCATTATTTCCTGCCAGGCAGAAACAAGTTGTTTATTTTTAAGCCATACCTTTTGAGGATGTAGGGATCAAAGGGAAAGAAGCTGTCCAGTGGGTTAGTGCACGTCTGCACAAGGTCACCCCCGGTGCCACTCCGAACAACTGGGATGAACTGCCTGTTGTTCCTCTCAATAATGGTGTAGCAGAACACCAGCTGGTATTTCCTTTAAAAAAGGTAATAAAGAAAAGGTAAGCACTTCTAGCACACCTAAAGCAAGGATTTCAGATGGTATTAAAATACAAAGTTATTTTTTAACAAACATCACTTCTATCTTCCATTTTCCAGGTGATACTAGGTATTCTCAAGACAGTTACAAGGTAAGGAGCCTGTTCTCTCTTCCTCTATACTCATATGAACTTTACTCTGAGTAGAATCACACTGGCTCCAACACAAAGCAATGACAGTGCTGCAGGCTTTCATTAAAACTGAACCAGAAATAAACTTATCACACCTGGAACATGGGCACTGTCATGTCTTAGATGATATTCAATACTGTGCCTATCAAAATCCATGTTCTAAGTACTGTGCTGGTTTCAGATACACACCAAGATCCGAAGCTGAAACTGAAGTAAGTGAGTAGGTACCTGGTAATAGCAGCAAACAAGTTGACAACAGAAGGGATACAAATCTTCAGGGGGTTGAGCTGACACATGACAATGCGCTCGAAATTTAAACTCTGCAGATATGACAGGCCTTGAAAATAAGAACAATCGACAAATACAGGTTAATAATATCATAGAAGCTGAACTTAATTTCTAACAATTTCCAGTGTGACAAGCCTGCACCCTGCACAACACCGCAGCAGCACATCCTAGGATGCTCTCTCCCAGAGGAGATCTGGCCCACAGCTTGTTCAGCAGAGAAGTTACTCTAATAACACCAACCTGCCACAGGTGAGGGACCCTCCTAAGACACACACTAAATTTGCACACCCATTAGAAGCACTGACAGAGGCAGAGTCATCAATACAGATTATTAACTGAAGCCCATGCTAGTTTTCTACAGTTATCAGCATTGTTTTCAATAGAGGGGGGAAAAAGATCACTTAGCTTGGTAGCCCAACATATGTACAAGCCATAAAATTTTCCTAAAAGCACAACAACATAAACTTGCCACCAGATACTTGACTGAACTGACCATTACAAAACACACCAACAGTAAAACTTGCAAATGAATCCTTTCAAACCAAATATACTCACCTTTCCTTAAGTTTCCATCCAAAAGTTGTTTATGACGGAAAATAAGTGTATAGAACACAGCCTGACATGTAGAATAAAATGGCCCATGGAGAGCTACATCACAGTAGGCATTAGCTCCTGTATCCTGATTATCAATGTATTTATGCATCCAGTTCACCAGAAGATCCAGACATGCTTTTACTGTGCTACAATGGAGGAAGGAGGGAAAAAAGAAGTGTAAAGACATTCCCTGAAATGGTGCAGAAAAGCTGTTAAACAAGTATTCAAGGAACTCAGTGGTTATGAAAACATCAGTGAGAAAATGTCATTGAAAAAAATGAGATTGTGTTACGAGCTTTCTCCTTTATCTCAGCATAAACTGAATCAATCAGCAGTCAGTGAAAGCACAAGATGCCAGAAGAGATCAATCCACGAACACATGTTGTATGTGAACACACAATAAACAATCAGAATCCCGGGCTATAGGTAGTACAGAAAGAGATGCCACCCATGTCCATCAGGTAATTCCGAAATCCAACTAACTTCAATGTTAAAGTCACTGTGCCCACCCACAAAAAAAAGACATTTTCACCAATCTGCTTGAGTATTTTAATATACCTGCAGCAAAATACTAGAACACCTGTTTTCTGTCCCAGAGTCTATATAAAATGCCACATATTGGGCACTAAAAATATCTGCTTCTGAACATCAGATACACCAGGAATCCATGGCTCTGCCTGAAGTCAACACAACCTACCCATGCTCGGCACTTCTTGGTAAGCGAAGCCTTAAAGAGTAAGCCATGAATCCCAGCAATCATTAGTCTGCATCCTGTACATGCAAAACTTTCCAGAAGGTTCAAACCAATACTGAAACAGTATTGCTGAAAGGACACACAAGCCCCTTGATTCAGGCTTGCTGGCAAAGCAGTGGGAATAGCAGACCAACACTGTGTGTGCATTCTGTGGATTCTGCTCAGCAATCAGCACAAAATGTTTGGTTCTGCTCATGTATCAAAACAACTTACACAACTGGAATAAATTTAGCTCTTGCCAAGAAGCTGCCAATGTAACTCCCAGCAGTCTGCCTGATCACTGAAGGATTGTTTGGATCCTGCAGTTTTTTCCAAAGATGGTCTAAAAACGCCTCAGCCAACCCCTGGAAAAAGATACACAGAAATTGTGATATTGTACTGATAACACTAGTTAAGTAATAGATTCCTAATATTCAATTTCCATAATTTCTATAACCAAAACGTTAAAAAAATCTACCTGTAACTGTAGTAAATAACAATTCCTATATATGGTGAAAAAGCACCCACTTCTGTGTCTCTTTCTATAATACTCAGTTGTAAAAAGCAAGGGGAAGAAGTCTAGGAAAGAATTGGGAAAAGATACACCAGAAGTGTTTAAAAGCAAGTGTGAGAAGAAGGTAAACATGAAATGATTGTTCACCAAGTCTTGTAGCAGAAGCAATCAGGGACATCCAAGGAAAACAGCAGGAAAAAGAATTTAGAGAACAAAAGTGATCCTTAACCTTAAACGTTATATTGTGGAAGTTTTTGCCACACAAGTTTGTGATGCCAAAAATTCACATCCTTACAAAAAGCATAATATCATGAGATACTTTCTCCTTGAATTTGTCCAAATGTTACCACCATCAGAGACAGGACAGTAGTTTAACTGGCCTTTTAGCTACTTTCATGTGAAAAGCATGTGTGTTCTTATTTTTATATGTAAAAGAAAGAACAAATTTGTTGGCAAAGATGGGAAAATGAGGGGGGAAACAACAAACAGCAGACACGATTTTCAAATATTAGATCTAACAGGACAGTTATCTTTAAGAGAGTTTTGAGATGCTGAAGAAACGTGCTGGAGCACCATGCCTTGGGTGCAGAAGCCCAACTCACTCTTGTAAAAGGGGTCCATTTTAACCACATTTGCTTAGATTCCAGCTGTGTGCAGTTTATGGACAACACGAGAAGAGCAACAGCAGAAAGAGAAACTTCAGGAATGAAGTAACAGAGAAGGAAAAGAAAACAAAGATACTAATGATCCTCATGTACTTGCTATCTTTAGACTGGAATTACAGCAGAAAACAACTATTTTATGTATAAAAAAAAGCCAAAACAAGGATGTAGAAATGACAGAGGACACTGCACTTCAAAACCAGCTTTTACTCACCAATTTAAAGCTGCAGATGTAAAACATGAAATACTGTACGTGACATGAAGCATGAGTTGGTAAAATGAGCTTGTCAAAAACAGAAACCAGATCCCGATACAAGTCCTTTGTGTTGCTGATATTGAGTTTGCCTACACAACAAAGAAACAGAACAAAATGAGACATTTCAGGGTTTTTTTCTATCCTCGTGCTGCAAAAGTGGTAATTCTATCTTTTTACACCAGTAAGAAGTATGTAAAGAAACACTGTCAAACTGACTTTTCAGCTTATCTGACATCTAAAAAATACTTATAGTACGACTTTCCAGGTCTTCAGTTCTACTGCTTTTTAAGGTGCTGTATATGAAGAATAGCTCTGTGTGTGCACACACGTATAAAACTGGTAGAAAAAAAACCCACCAAGAAATAAATAATCTGACTTACTTGGATACAGTAAAATGGTTTCTAAATATTCTGTTTTAAATATATAAATCTAAGGAATTCAAGCCCTTAACACATACCAGTATAAGACAATTCTTTCATTTTTTTTCCTAACACAAAGCCTTGCTGCAGCAATTTTGACTGAGTGATGTGTCTGGTTGTTTTGATCTGTTTCCAGTCCTTGTACTGTTGAAAGGATCCATAATTCTAGCACTCAAGTAGAGCAGATGATAAAACACTTATACCCTGTCACAGTTTGGATACTGTATCATATTTATGGAATCGGAATGTCTCCAGCTGAGGACTAAACCTTTAAAGTCACAACTGTACCAGTAACACTGGGCAGAGGCAGGAATGTGGACTAGAGCCTGCTGCTGGCAGAATTCTGCTCTATCTTGCAGCAGCAGAAAGCAAGAACTCCTCATTTGTGTTTCTTACTTGTTAGCAAAACAATAAATTTGGGTATAGTGCAAGTGTTCTTACCATCCACGTGGCAAACATCTTTAATGTAGGAAAACAGGATGGTCATCAGGATGTCGAGGCGCTCTGCAAGGGGATGGGCCATTCTCTCACTACTGGAAGAGGCAACTTTGTTTCCTTTTCTTTCTTCATCTTCCTCCTGGTAGATAAAAATGGCACAAGCAGCTTTGATATGCACAACATCAGAGGATGCAATTACAGGAAAAGTGAAACAAAAGTTCTCTTTCAGTGATATGCTAAAGTTTCATATTTTTCTTAGAAGAGCAGTATCTAATTACACAGTATGAGCAAATCTTTGTGAACTAAGCCAAGCACCATGAATTCTTTAACTAGCTTTATGCAGAGCTGCTTGTGCTTTTACATAATGAAATCGATTCACTGCATGTACACTGGGCATTTACATGAATACAGTCAATAGCTGACAACACATTACTCATTTGTTATCTGTTCAGGTTTCAAGACCTGTGTGCAGTGCAGTAACAACAAAGCAATAATGAATTCCTACACTTAGTTCACAGCCACCTCAGAAGTGAAATTTTTACTAGAGAATAACAGAATTTTGGTAGAACAAGATAACCAACCATGTCAAAAAGTCCCTCCTCTGTAGATTTCTCCTCACTACCAGAGTTATTAGCAGTTTCTTCAGCATCTTCAATATCTTGCTGTGGAGTGCTAACCTACAGTTGTAAACAAGAAATTAATTTTTATTAAACCATGATAATATAAAACTTTTTTTTATTATTACTCACATAAAGGAAATGACAACATAAGTAAGTTCTTGCCTAAATTTTGTCCTGGACTAAATAAACATTTTAAAAGGAAATGATATGCCATACACAAATGCACACTCCAAAGCCCCCTGAAACTTTACCTGCCAAATATAAGCTCTCCCCAGACAGTTTATATGCTGAGGTAAAAAGCCTTGATCATTTACAGTGCTACCCCTCCTGTCCTTTTTAAGATGGTAAATCCTTTTACTTCAAAGAGATGATACGATCACTCAACCATACAAAGAGAAGCACATTCTCTGCATATCAGCACTGATCACCACAAAGCAGTTGTTTTGACTCTGGCAGGGACATTCCAGCAGGGACTCATAGTACACACCATACAGTTCCAATGGCAACATCTTAAGGCTGGCAATGGACTCTAAATTCGGCTGGTTTTACACACATTATCACAAGCACTACTGCAGCAGATTTTTTGTCGAGCTTAAAACTGAAGTGTATTTAATTTCCTACTCTGTATTTTAACACCAAGCATCCACAAAAGGTAACAAAGAATAAACTCACATCCAACTTCAGCAGCTTTTCAACAATAAGCTCCAGAATTTGAAGCCTCAGAGTTGGAAGGTACACCGTAACTCGTAGTAGGTTATGGACATAACATTCCTGTAACACAAAATTAATTGGTATCTATAATAATGTCAACACAAAGTCTAATTTCTGCCAAGGACTTTTAGAAAGCAAGTTTCTTAATTTATTATCTAAAGACCCAGAAATAGCTTTAAACAGATTGTATTCAATCTAGAATAACTTAATGTATAAACATCGACTTTCAATTAACTACTTAATCTATTACTGCCACACAAATTTTCCAAACTACCTCTAGACAGAGTGTGAATATTCTATAAGAAAGTTATTTCCATAGGAGTTTGTCTAAACTTTGTAGGAAAATGAAGCCTATTCCCCACTACATCTAGAACCAGCTATACTAGAACTGCTTAAAGTGAGACTGAATACATCTTTATTTCAGATTATTATAATATACCAGCAACAATTCTGAATTCCACAGGTCTGCCTCCTCAGTCATTCTGACTATGAATCAAGCAGGTTAACAGACAAGTTTTGTGAGCATGCATGGGCCCCCCATGTGTACACAAATATCTACAAAAGACAGTGCTGCAACTTTCACATAGCAGAACTGTCAAGCTGGTACACAAAATCAGGTAAAGCACTACATTTGAGTACATCACAGTCTCTGTGAATATGCATTATAACACAACCTTTAATTACATATGATTTTTCCACAGGCCACCTGGCTTGCTCAGTACATAAAATGAGTAGAGATAGTTTAGTGAGAATGTGTACATTGGAAATACTTAACAATGCATGGACCATATTTTATTACACTTCATTCAAGCCTTGCCCTGAAAATAGTTATGAATTTCTTCATGACTTGTTACTCATTGAGCTGCTAAGTAAATAAATCTTCTCCTAACACCATATAAGAGCTATTATGCCCCCATTTTACAGACAAGGAACTGGTGCTTCAAGTTATTTGGATTAAAACAACAACAAAAATAAAAAACCTAGCAAGATACACAATGAACTTTGGGGATTTTTCAGCACTTGATGTGTTCAAAACACAGCTTCAACTGAACTTGGCTGGAGGAGCAGGGCTCTGCCTTCCTGTAATATAAAGTGCCAACTTATCAAGCTGGAACAAGTAAATGTAAAGATGACACAAGAGCCATACCCTGTCAGAAGTTTCCAGCTTGTTTTTCACCACACATGAGCACTGTACCAAAGCTGTACTAAAACAACTTAGGGCTCTACACTACTGGCAGTTTGGATTTCACCTATAACACACATTGCTTCCTGTCTGCTTATCAAATACCCTGTTCCCCTGACAAACACCCTCCAGTTTTGATAACAAACGAGACAGGTGTCCTACCATCTCCTGACTACACAACCCTGAGACTCATCCTCAAAGAGCTCCATCCTGTGCACTGATTAAGAAAGCAATCCTGTGGAAAAGATATGTAGTTATGCCATTAAAGACTTGCATAATGTTTATGCACAGAGAGTTTCAGTATGCTTGGACAACCTTATACTAAACAGACACAACCACAATATATATGGTTATTACATATATATTTATATATATAAAAATACCCTCAAAAATCTGCATTCAATGCCACCAAATCAGTTGTAATACTATTTTAGTACATTTATACATTTAAAAAAACAAGTGAACAAGCCGACAAAAATATTCACAGCTCTTACCAGAGTTCTTTCTGATTTATTAATGAAAGGAAAGTATTCCACCAGTATTGGCATGAGAAACTGCGGTGTCCTATAATTAAAAAAAAATAAATAAATCAAATGCAGAAGTTATAGGTTATTACCATGAGAGCATTCCACCAGTTAGTGAATATTACGAAAAAACATGCAATGAAACTAAGTACTATACTTCCCATCAAGAGAGGAAAAAAATCATCAGTTCAGAAGCTTTAAATCTGCAAGGGAAGGGATACAAAGGGATACAAAGCCATGGGATTATATACTTACGAAGGAACGTATCTTGCAACAGTTTGCAAAGCTCTATGGCAAGTATCGAAGTTTTCAGAAACGTCTAGAGAAAGAAAAAATATTCTTATGCACTTGTTTACAGAAAACTAAATTAGGAACCAGCAAAAACGGTTCATATCAACTAAACAATTGAAAGATTCCCGAGGAAACCACATTTGCCAAAATGTTCCTTAGGGGGGGATGTACACTGAGGTAAATAAAATGGAAACCAAACAACTCCTAACTATTCTTTGGCTTTGAAACAATCTAGGATAGGGAATATTTTCCTACATATTCTATTCCTACAGATACTGCACCAACAGGAATGTTTTGAAAGTCACAAGGAGTGGGTCAGCACACCACTGATTTGAGTACAAGAAAGACTTTTGACTTGGTTATTTAAGGATATACTGTTTCTTGATGTTTTACTTATAATCTGCTGAATTAATTTTATAAAAAAGGAGCAATACATACTGTATACTTGTTCAGTAAAGGTATTACAGCAGCATATATAAGCCATGCTTCCTTTATACTCACTTTCATCATCGTCATCAGAATCTGAAATGTCCACGTCATCTTCTCTGATGGTTATCCGAGCTAGCAAAAAGGGAGATTATTAGATCAAAACTGTACAGATCTTACAGGTAACGGGTTCAGTGCCAAACACACTGCACTAGAGTCTCCATCAGGACTAAAGCATAAAAATTAGCCACAGGATTTTCTAAAAGACTGCTTTATTCACAGAACCAGAAGGCTCTCGGGGACACCTGACATGATCCTCACAGCAGATGTTAGTTTTCTGCACCTAGATTTTAGAAGGCACATTCTAGTGGCCAACACAGATCCTGTTCTGAAGAAGTCTTGGAAATGGATGAACTGTGTAATGTTATTCCTACTAAAAAACTATCTATATCACAGTTCAACAGAGAAAAAAACCCCCAATGACTCAGTAATTAATTGTCATGTCGTACTTACACAGAATTTATCTGGGGAAGACATTCTGATAAGCAAACAAAGAGGAGAAAAGTAACTTACGGGGGACAAACTGCGACACAATCATCCGGAGGCACGGCCTGAGATGGACAGTCTGTGCTGACACCAGATTGCCAAGAAAACCCAGATATTCTTCCACTACCTCTCGGCTCCTTCTCAACCATGGCAGCTTCTGAAAGTAAGCAAAGATCAAGATGTCAGAGACAGATGTTTTGAGTACTAAACTCTTAATCTTTCCATGTAGCAAACCGATATTTACCAGCAAAATGCTGACCAGTTGTTCAAGCTCTTTGGTCAAATACGCAACAGAAGTTCGAAATTCATGGAGCCAATTAATGATCTGGGCATCCTTCAAATAAGCAGAAAAAAATAGATAACTATTCCAATAAACAGTATTACCTATTAGTAGAAAATAACAAAATCCTTAAAAGTCAAATATTAAGATTGTAAATAGAAATTGTTTCACATTAATATGTGAGGAAATTCCTTGTGTCCTCAACAATGGAAATTCTTGAATGCAGGAATATGTGCAAACTGACTCCTAAACCAACAGCCTGCCTGGAAGGCTTCAGCTGCAGACTGAGCAAGGCATGAAACCTCACTCACACAGAACATACTTTAAAAAAATGGCATTCAATTTTCTTTTTCTTTTTTTTTCCTCTAGTTTAAGCAGAAGGGACATTCAAGTCTTGAAATGATTTTGAAATAGCAGCAAATCCACTGACTTTGCCTGTATGCTCCAAAAGGTCTGCTAAAAACATTTTACAGAATGTCCTCTAAGGAACTCCCTATAGCATGGTGCTTCCTGCAGCACCCTGTTTACTGTTTTATGGTTTAATTAAAAGGGGAAAAAAAAGGACAGCAAATGTGGTGAGTACTTGCAGCTGTACAGAAAGGCTGTAAAACAATATTTCTGGGTATAACTACTAAATGCATATGTATGTTACTGCCTAATTCAACAAGTTCTTAGTGAGAACAGAAGGTAAAATTTGGTGCAACTTAAAGTGAGAAACCATGGTTTGATCTACAGAAGTAGCTCTAAAATCAAGGCTCAGTGACAGAAAGATGGTATCTGGATCAAGGACAGACTCAAAGGTTTCTCACTCTAGAGCAAAGAGTCATTAAGTATGAGACGCCATTTACGGAGATCCTGCATATGTGTATGTGTAGAAATAGACAATTGCTTTTTTTCACATTTAGAGTTTTAATTCTGAAAGTTTCCACAGAGCAAAAAGCTAGCAAATGCACCTAATGTTTAAAGCAAAGGATTTGTGTAAGCACCAGAATGACTTGTCTGATGGTTACACTCAGACAAACTTTAAATCATCAGACTCCTGACTATGAAAACTCTTACCTTTATGTCTGGATCTGACAGTTGATGCTTCAACAACTCAAAATCTGTGGTATCACCCTAGCAAGGGAAACAAAAATATTCAATTTTTTTCCAGCAAAATATACCCATTTCATCAACATATCTGAACAACCTATTATTGCTGAACATTAAGAACACAATTAAGAACATTAGGTACATTAAGAACACAAGCAAGGGAGAGACAGCTCAAGGAAGGCTGAGGCAGCAGTAACAGGGTGCTGAAAGACAACCGAGGGTTGGCTCACGCTCAGCTGCTCTCCCTGTAGACACAGCTGGGATCCCCGTGCACCCTTCGGCATAAGCCCGGCTTCACACCCACCCAGGCTGACTCACGGGGGAAACCTTTCCACCGCGTTCAGGTTTTTTCCCTAAGCCTTCACACACGGTGTGGTGTAAGGCGAAACGACTCTTCGCCCTGAATGACCCCCAGGACCCAGCGCGGGCAGCCCGGACGCAAGGGAGGCACCCGCGGAGCCGCACTCACTCACCTTCTCGTACTTGAGCAGGATCTCAGTGAGGGTCCCCCCGAACCGCACCGTCTTCCTGGGCGGGGAGCTGATGAACTCGTCCCCTCCCAGCATGGCCACGGCCCCGCGCCTGCGGGACGGGGAACGGCGTGAGCACCGCCCGCACCCCCCGGCCCCTCCTCAGCAGGAGGAGCCCCTCGCCCCGCTCCCGAGGGTCTCCCCCCCGGTGTCCCCCTTGCCTTGCGGTGGCACCGCGCCCGCCGCTACCGGGGCCCGGGGCGCCGCGCCCCGCGCCGCCCGCGCCGCTCCCCGCCCCGCCACATGCCGCTGCCGGGCGGAAAAGGCAGCGCGGGGCGGCGGAAACGCCGAGCGCTCCACCCCTCGCACCACCGAGAGCCGGGACACGGAGCGGCTCCACAGAGCGCCGGGACACGGAGCGGCTCCACCGAGCGGCGGGAGGGAGCGCCGGGATGGGGCGGCCGCGGCTCTGCCCCCGCCCGCTGTGGTGCGGGAGGACCGAGCGAGCCGGGTCATTAACTAACACAAGGGTGAACCCAAATACATGTCTTGCCTTTTACATAACTGCTCACTTGCTGAATTTCACATCTTGCATCCACAACTTGCTTCCCGTTTGTCGCCCTGAAGTTGTATCCCAGCTGCTCTTTATAAGCCTCAAGCACGGAGTTAAAGGAGTCTATGTGCATTTGCAGAGGCACGTTATACTCTTGCAAATCTCTGCTGTCTGCTACCAGCTGCCTCCTCTTGTGAGTGTGGAGGTCTACGAAGCGGGTGTCCATCTGGGGAACACCTTTTTGAAGTGCCTCCTTTCCCAGGTGTCTGAGCGAGGGGACGCTGCCCCGGCTGGAACAGCTGAACGGGTCCGGAGCGGGCTCTTCTCGCCCCGGTGCGCGGGGATGGAGCCGGGCAGGAGCAGCGGGAAGCTCCACGGACGGCACTGTGGGAGCAGACCCCAGCACTGGAGGGTAACAGGGCGCAGGGAAGCGGAGTTCCAGGTTTATCCACAACGCCACGGTGGAGTGATCCGAAGCCGAGTTTTGGCACAAGCAAGCAATCCCCGGTCCCGCGGGCAGCTTTCCCCGAGCGATGACAGCAGAGGTGACACCAAGGACATGCCAGGACATGCAGGGTTTCCAACTCAAACCTAGCACTGCAGTTCGGAGGGATAAACTAAATGATTCGAACAACTTTAGCTGAGACTGAAGAAGGCCAAGAATCTGGTCTAAACAAAACGGAATTTGACCTTGGGAAGCATTTAAGCATTTCTTGAACAGAGGCATAGGAACTTTAAGCAAGATTTCTGATGCTTTCATCCTCTCCTTGTAGGCTAGGTCTGTTTTCCTCTCAAAGCATTGTATACACGCACACAAGTACTACTGTTAGAGTCACCTGGATAAGAATGAACAGGGACATGCATCTCCTGTTTAGTTCTTCAGTAACACCCAATCTCCTCAAAATTTACTTTGGTTGAATACATAACATTTACTTCACCAATTCACACAAACTAGTTCCAGCAACATGTGACATTATTTGACCTTAGCCCTCTCAATCAGCTAAACACTTTGGCTTATTCTCTACACAAACTGCTCCTGTAATAATTACCTCCCTTCCAGCAACTCTCACTCCCAAAAGTCACAAACAGATTTTTGTAGGTGTTTATAATAATATAATCTCTCCTTGATGAAGGTGTTCCCATTTAAGTAGACAATATTACCACATGAAAACTTGCTTTAGGTGCAGTCCACATTTAAAGAGTTTAATAAGCATTTAATCCATCCACATAGAAGTTAGGAGGTTGGTGTTATTCCTTTAGTGGAGTATAGGATGCCATTTTGAGCTGGTTTTAAGGGTTAACCAGATACAAAAGACTCTTGTGTTCACACTCCAGGAAATGGAGTTTGGTTCTTTGTCATTTTGGCCGTGTTTTTAAACAGAATGCAGAGGACTGTCCTTAAAGTCTAAATGAATTCTAGCTTTAGCTCTACAACTCTGTGTTTACACAACAGCAAGCAGTTCTATACATGTACAAGAACTTCTTTCCAGTCAAAAATGTAAAAGTTCTTTGAATGGACTTTGTGCTGCTTTCAGCTAGAGCTGATAAGGATATCATGAGACTAAAATAGTGTTAAATAATTGTTAATGTTTAACTGCTAATAATTCCATTGCCAGTTTCTATTTAGTATTAGCCTTCCTTGTTTAGAAGGCAAGTTGATCTCATGAAACAGTGACTGGTTTACATTTTCAAAAACAAAACAGTTACAATACTTACAATAGGTACTGTTGCTCCACAGCAAGTACTTTCTGTCTCATTGTTTAGACACACAGTCCCGGTAACATTCTGGTGCTTCTTTACGCTTAACAGCCTCCTTAACTGACGGATCAGCTCCTGTATTTCATTTTTAAAACATACGTACTGTTCATACTACTAAAAGTTTGGACTCTACACAATTTTTGAGTGAATTTGCAACAGCATTCTAGCTACCATCTTATGTAGCAATCATTAAGTATACGTACTCGATTTAGGATTAATTACATTGTACCCTACAATGAATGCCAAGCCCTGCTCAATTCACTCTGGTAATTATGATTGCAACACCCAAACAGAAAAATTTTGGTTTCCACCAGACTAAGTATGTGAATGGCTACACACAAAAGGTTTGGCTTAATTTATAGCTGCTACTAATCATTCCACTTATTAAATACTGTATCTCACAATTCACTTTACAAGTGAAATTGTAGGGAATCAGAAAAAGCAGTTATCTCTTCAGAACAACGAAATGAAAGAAAAGTCTTGCATGCAAAAACTGATCTACAGGTTTTAAGGGAGGAGCTTTTTTGGTTTCTTTCTTTGTTTTTTTAAGTCAGACCATTGTGGCACCACAATGGTGTCACATTGCAGTTTCATTAAAAGGAGGAAACAATTGCATACACCTCCTAGAAACTGAAGTTCATAAAGAAGAAATCACATCATAGACCTTCAAATTTAGTGTTCTTCTTAACTTGTTAAAAGACTGAGAGCATCTGGAAAACTTTTAAGAAGAGAATATGCATAGAAAAGAAGTTACTTCTGTAATTTACAAGAAAACATTGAAAGACATTTCAAGAGTTCACCAGGAAATACAGCCACAGTGCTCTTAGTAAATATTTCCTTAATTCCACCTCTAGTATTCAGTAAGGTGTGGCATAAAACCAATTGCACATTGAAATTTTAAGACCTATCAGTATTTGCTGGTGGTGGGCTCAGACTCTTAGTTCAAAAGCAGAGGAACTCACAAGGAATTTCTCCATACAAGAATTTTAGGTATCATTAACATAAGTCTTTTTGCCAGGTACTGTTTGTTAATATTTTATAAAACCTCAGAGTATTTGTTAATCAAGAGAGTTTCTTTTAGTCTTTTCCCTTCCTTCAAATGCTTCAGCATTAGGAGAATAACTCCCAACATCACTGGACTAAAAACACCTTTTGCAAGAGTCATCAAATGACATCACCCACAACTACAAAGACTGTACTGGTGTGCCAATATCGCTGATTTTACTTGTCTAATTCTAAAATCTCAAATTCCAGGTTGTTTCAAAATAACAATGAAACTTAACAAGAGACGCTGTAAATTGTGTATTTACACTATAAACAACTTCTACTGCATTTGCAGCTTTGCATCAATAGTTTAATATAGGTATTTTAAAAGCACCCTTACAAACAAAAGTATTGCACTGGCATTATAAAAATTCACAGTAAGTTTAACTTCCAGACTTTGGTAAAACAGTGCAAGAGCTTTTCATTGTGCAAGAGCTTTTTATCCAAACCTTCCAGGGTTTTAAAAATAATAATAGTTAAAAAACACAACTATATGACAAGCTGCAGAGATTTTTCTGGGACTTGGGTTCAGTTCTCTTTTAGTTCTCACTTCTTAAAGAGATTTTGTGTTGGTTTTTTTTCCCACCATTTCAAAGCATATCCAGTCCAACACTGAAATAGGTGTATTTGGCAGAGATATGACTCCATGTGTCCATTTTATGCAGAGTCCACAGTGCTCGCAGAGATTATTCCACAGTGAGAGAATCCTATTGCTTTGAGTAGGGAATTCTCTTTCCACAATTTGCAGCACTTCCCCCGCTTTTTAAGGCAGTAACTTCAAAAGGCATGTCTTCAACAGATCCTGAAGATAATACAGTAAGAAAAGTTTACTCAAAAATAGTCTTAACGCAGATGGTCATATAAAACTCTAAAGTGTTATGTGACATCAATCTTAGAAGTACTTTTCCTCATGTTTAACAGCCAATTGGGACCCAAATGAAAGATCCAGCAAGTGAACAGCCCATCTCCAATAGTGTCTGAATCTCTTTTCAGGCTCAAGGATCCTAATCTACTTGTTATTCCTTTAATATCTTGAGAATTCTCACACCCTTCTCATTCATTTTTACTATATAATTTTCAAGATGGTACATTGGAACAGCAGGCAATATTCCATTAATAACTTCCAAGAGCTATTAATGGAAGCTTTTCTAATGGCCAGTATGGTGAGGGGTTTTTTTGTTTGTTTGGGATTTTTTTTGCACGTGTGTGTGGTGGTGGTGTTTCTTCCTTCCTCTCTCCTGACAATATCTGCCCAAACACGTTTAACCCGTTTGGTTAAGTTCATAAATATCTCCAGATGGGGAGATATTTATCAGTAAGGAATGATCTGATTCAGACAGTTGTTTGTGAGAAGATATAAAGTACTTCAGATAAACTAACTTCAAAAAGGAACTCTCAGTTCTCTTTGGAGATGCCACCATTTGTTACCCTTTATTCTACCTTGAAAGTAAAATCATAGAGTTTTATGTTACAATGTGTAACATAACTCTTATACACTCCCTCTGTTTTGGTTCCTTCTGAATTACCATTACTAATGCAATTGTACAGAAGTTCATTTCCTGTAACATTAGAAGCTGCTGTTTACTTGGGATAACTTGTACTAAAGCACTATATAGGAAATAACAAACCTCATTAGAATCAGGAATAAGACTTGAACTATTTAAAAATGATGGACAAGTCTCGCTACTAGAAGTTCATTACAACAAAATGCACATCTTTGTATGCATATTGAGAGTAGGGCCATCTACAGAGGTAGCAGACTATGTACTGATCTCAAGACCTGCAATTCCCGTGATCTTTACATGAAAAAGGTCATTTATAAATGTAATTTCTTGCTGGCAAATATGGATCTCTATCTGTCAATCCTAGACCCATTTCAGAAAAAAGAAAGTCTGAAAAGAGAATGACTGGTTTTCAACAGCCTGTTTTCTAATTGCAGATGTAGTTAATAATAAACTAGTGAGCAGCAACAAATCTTTGAAAGTTGTATTGCTGCTGTTCTTTTCTGCCTCCTACAAGTTTTCTATTAAGCAATACTTATCCATGCTCAATCTCCTTACTGTTAAAACTTCCTCTCAAGAAAAATGTTGTGGATTTCATGAAAGAAGGCCATTTCCACATGAACTCTTCTGTACCAACAGTAGCTTCAGAATTTAGTTTCAAGGAGCTGCAGAAAAAGCTAATCTTGTACATAGTCAATCAGAACAGCCAAGTTGTTCAGAATCCTTGAACACGGTGCAAAACTGTTTTTACAGTTCCTTCAATGAAGGATTTTACATAGTGAAGTGAAAGTTAGACTTTTTTTCTCACATGCTTTTTCAAGGCATGCTTCTCTTCCTAAATGAACATGTCATGTAAATGAACAAACTAGGGAGATTTTGAAAGGCTTGATAATCTTCAGCTGGGCTTTGAAATGGGACCTAGGCACTTTCTTTGCACATCGGATATTACTGCATCTTTTCCAGATGACTGAGGTTCAAGACAAGTAGTTTAACTAATGACTACATTTACTAGCGTCAATCTATTAGCTAGAACTCTGCCCCCAAGTTAAACATAAGTCAGCATTTCACCTTTCTTCTTGTTCTCTTAGAAAGGTCCCTCATGGTGCTAAAGAGGGAGCTTCCCCCTCACAAGAGCTCATGTGGGTAGTGGCTGATGGCTGTTTCATTAAACACCACTTCTGGCAGCATTTAGTGACTGTCGGGACCAGTTCAGCACCAGTTCAGGACCACGGGGCTTCTGTGCTGCATCGGACATAAAGCTCCATCACGCTCACTGGGCTTTACTCCAGCTCCTCTTTCCCGTTCTTAGACGGCCACAGGAAGTGTCTTCCCTCCCTGATCACATTCTCAGTTTCTATTACCGCCTGAGCTCAGAAAGATTCCCCACTACTTTAATTTTAAGAAGCACCAGCTGCCAGCAGGTGGTTTAACACAGCAAGTATTAAATTAGACCTCAGGCGAGAAGAGAGCTTTCTGCAGTTCTAGACAAACTTTACGACTCGCCCCCACCTTGCCCTTCGCTGGTCTCACCTGCCGGGCTCGGCGGGGCGGCCGCGGGGCCCCGCGGGGCGCTGCAGCTCCATGTCGGCGGGGCGGCCGGGCCCGAGCGCGGCCGTGAGGCGGAGGCTGAGCCCGTGCACCAGCCGCCGCAGCAGCGTGTCCCCGCGGCCCTTGGGCGCCGCCAGCCCCACGTCGTCCCGCAGCTCCTCGGGCGGCACCTCCAGGTTGCCCGCGTACCAGAACACCCACCAGATGAGGCTGAGGAAGATGCCGATGCCGCCCGCGTAGATGAGCAGGTCGGAGAAGAACACGTCGGCGAACACGCCCGCCAGCAGCACCGCCAGCCCCAGCGCGTCGAACGCCAGCGCCAGCCAGAAGGCGGCCACGCAACGACCGAGCCCGCCCGGGGCCGCCATCGGAGCGGCGCCGCCGCCACCGCCTCGGGCCGCCCGCACGTGAGGGAAGGCGGGCGGGAGTGGCGGGAGGGCGGCGCCCACCTAAGGGCACGTCCGGGCCGAGCCCCCCGCACCTGAGGGCACGGCCGGGACAGTTCCCCCGCACCTGAGGGCACGGCCGGGACAGTTCCCCCGCACCTGAGGGCACCGCCAGGCCCCGCCCCCGCCTGCACCTGAGGGGGCGCCCAGGCCACGCCCCCCACACCTGAGGGCACCTCCAGCTCCCGCCCCGATGAGGCGGCAACGCGCTGCCCTCAGGCGGCCCCGCCGCTCCCGCGGTGGGTGCTGAAGGTGTTTAAGGTTGATCTGTAGCGACCGACGGCATTCGGGGGCCGGGGCGTCCCTTGGAAGTGGCGGTCGCTGCCGCTTCCGTGTGCAGGTGAGACGGGCGGGGCTGGACCCGTTCAGCTGTTCCAGCCGGGGCAGCGTCCCCTCGCTGGGACACTCGGGAAAGGAGGCACTTCAAAAAGGTGTTCCGCAGATGGACACCCGCTTTGTAGACCTCCACACTCACAAGAGGAGGCAGCTGGTAGCAGACAGCAGAGATTTGCAAGAGTATAACGTGCATCTGCAAATGCACATAGACTCCTTTAACTCCGTGCTCGAGGCTTATAAAGAGCAGCTGGGATACAACTTCAGGGCGACAAAGAGGAAGCAAGTTGTGGATGCAAGATGTGAAATTCAGCAAGTGAGCAGTTATGTAAAAGGCAAGACATGTATTTGGGTTCACCCTTGTGTTAGTTAATGACCCGGTACACACCTTTTAAGGTTCCCAAGTCCTCAAGCACCAGAACTTCATTTGGCTGCAGGATCTCTTGTAGTTGCTCTCACAAGGCCCTTATATATATAACAGTTTATTTAACGATGAGTAAGACACACAGTTCCAGTAACTAGAATATTAAGCTGACGGGAGGTCGGACAGGCTAAGAGTGCATGGAGCTTCCATGTTTTTGTGGAAGTACAATGTGCCAAGAACAATGCTGCTGAGGAAGGGTATTCCTGCAATGACATTTACTGTGACTACAGACTCAATTCCTTTCATAGCAGTTGGTTCACAGTTGAAAAGTTACAAAAGACACCAGTTACAAAAAGACACCACTAATCAAGCAGAATTTTTTCATATTCTCTAGTTTCTTTTACCACTTTTTGTTTAGCACCCATTTACTTCCTAGCAAACATATTGATATGGGAAGCCCTAAGAAGGAGAGAGGATGGGGTTCTTTAATGGCAAATTAGGCTGGTTACATCCTGTTGATTGATCTTGTCTCTTACCAACTTTTTCCTATCTGGATTTGAGGTTTTTACAACCAAGACATTTCAACACAAATCTGCCTTGTATTCTCACTCTGAGAAGGACATAAAGTGATCATCATACAGAGAACAATTTGGTTGTTCTGTACAATTTCAAATATATCACCTTTCAGTCCTGATGTATTTTTCATGCCATTACAGGACTAGTTCACTTGTCTGGCACACCTGGAATTCATACAGCCTTTGGCTTTTTTCAGATGGAAGAAACAACAGTACTGGCGACCATCATGCAGGAACACCCTCAACTGTTCTGGTACCAGAAAAAAAGCCCACAAGTGAAGGTAAGATTTTGCTTGATGTCATAAAGTATAAATGATTAAAGAAAAAAAAAAAAGGCACTAGACACATTAATACGCAAATACTCGAGGTAAAAACAGCTAAAACTTACATAGTTTGCCTTGGTATCAGGCTGCTAACTTACAATATGTGTGGTAAGATCAATAGATGTCAACCTGTCTTCATTATATTGAAAAAATTATAGAAAAAAAATGGTAGTAGCTATTTCACCTTTAGAAGCACATGTAGATTGCTGCTTCTGGCATGCATGCTTTGTGCTTCAGACCCTGTCTGTACTAAGCTATGCTTCAGGAAATGTCACAGAATATTCCTGTGCTTTTTTTCCCTGGAATAGCCCCCTCCCTGCCTTTTGACACTTGCAGAATTTGAGTGCTTTTGGTCTGGGCCAGGAAAAGATAAAAAGTGATAGGGCTGGTAAGACAGTGAGTTTATTTGTACCAGCTTGTAAATTAGAAGGAAACAAATGAATCGTTACAGATCTTGGCAGAAAAAAAGCCCTTGGGATCGGATTTCTTAAGAAGGTATTTCACTTCATGAATATATTTGTTTACTAAAAATACATCCCTGAATGACTACATAAACTGCATTACAGCAGACAACTCTCATGCTGACTGTGGCACCCGCCCTTTCTTGGGTGTTTGCTTTGATGGTTTTGAAGACTTCTTGACTGACTGTATCGATTTGCCAGCTTTGGGTGTTGCAAAAGTCTTCACTTCAGGTTTTTTTGGAGTCTTTTTCATGTCTTTTTCTTTTATTGCTTCCTTTGGCTTGCTGACCTGCTTGGCTTTTTTCTGTTTTGGTGGTGTCTGCAAGTCTGCACGCTCTCCTGCAACATCAGGTTTTGATTTTGGAGTCTCCGGTACTAGAGGTTGTTTCTTTCTCTTTCCGAGGGGTGTTTTGGTTTTCTTGCCCAAGTTGCCACCTTTTTCTGGACCTGGTTCCATTTTCTGTATTTAAGACAGACAAAAAAATTACCCTTCCATGTAAGGAACACATTTCCTGTTCTTCAGGAAAGGAAAACCATGATAAATGACAAATGCTTTCTATCAACTGAACTGCGCCCTAGTCCATTTGAAGTGTGTTAACACACACTGTTACCTAAGGAGCAATGAGCAATTTAATACATTCAAAATCTTTAGTTTTAACTGAAATATGAGTTTTCCAATATTATGAAGCAATTACCTCCATCTCAGCTAAACTCTTTGTTTGTATAGGGACCAGTTGTGGAATTTCTTCATCATCATGATCATCTGGTTCTTGGACTATTTCTGCTTTTTCTTTTACTGCAGGCTCCTGAGTAGCAGCAGCAGCTTTACTTTCAGTTGTCACAGTGACTTGACTTGACTTCAGTTTTTTAGCTGTCTTCTTCGGTTTCTTCGTTTTTCCCTTCTAGTTAATCAGAAGTACATCTCAGACAAATCCCCATAACATTTCTAAATGTATAATAGTTTTACTGTGGTTAAAAATTAGACAGCGTAGCAACATTCAATTAAAGACCCCTATTCAATAGACCCAGACCGATCAACCATATGTAAAATATGAAAAAATGCATTGCATGCAGATTATTATAAATAACTCACAATTACAATAGTGTCAAGATTACAGCCTTTAAGTTGAATACTGATGTTCCACATTTACTTCAGACAAACTAACATAAGCAGAATTCAGCACAAAGGAATAGCCAATTACTATTTTTTACAAGTATAAGCCCCCTATCTATACAAATATATGAGCTTCTGAATTATTCAGATGTCACTGATTAGCCAACAAAAAAATAGATGCATAATCTGAAATCCACTTATATGTTAATGAGTGTATATTTGGAAAGCAAATATGAATAAACAATACTAACAAAGTTCTAAGAATGAATCTCATCCCCCTTTAGTTTAGCACTAGAAACATTTCCTTCCAGTTTGCTTTACAACCCATCAGGGAGTTTGCATAATTTCATTATTATTACTGAGTATTTGAAGCACTGAGGCAGTGATGGCCTAACCCATTTTTAGCCATATATACCTGGGATCAACTGCTAAATGTTTAAACCCAACACTATAATGCATAAAAGGAAAACAAAGAACTAACTGCACCAACCTGACCTTATGCAAAGTTAGAAGAAACTTTGTTTTACCTTTTCTTCCTTCTTTTTGAGAGGTGGCTCTGTGTCAAGCTCATCCAGGTTGGAAATATTCGCAGTAAATATTGGAAGCGCAACTGATTTAAGTGTTTTGAGGTGAAGAATCTTCACATTTTTCCAGTTCTGCAACAACAAAACCAGTACATTATGTAAAAATAACAAGGCTGAAGTATGAACCCGCTGGGCTTTAATGCAGTCAATCAGCAGTACCTTTGGTAACTTCTTAGCAATCACTTTTGCTGTTGCAATGACATTTTCCACGATCTCATCCACTTTCATTCCAGTGTGACCTATACGTGCTGTACTGAAACAAGAGAAGAGTAATATTTATGTGTGGGCAAATAAACATACTTCAAGTTACTTGTATTTAGGCATCTATAATTTTCTTTACTTTCATAAAGGATGGATGGCTATAACAGAAGACTTTTTTAATAGCAGTCAGAAGAGATTCACCTGTATTTACCTTTCCATATTTGGATATGGAACTTCTGCCTTATATTATTTAAAATTTAAATCCTTTTAGATATACAATACATGAAAAAAAATAGTACTAGCATATTTTGGAAATAGTTTTTATCTAATTTAACAGAAATAGAGTTCTCTAAGATTGTACATGCTGTTTTACAGTGAGAGGTGCCTAGAAATTCCTCTGGTATAAGGAAAAAAGAGACAAAAAGTAAAACTTTACAGTAAAATGTCTTAAGTAGAACTACTGGTTTCTTTATATAGGTTAAGGTTCAAAATGGCCCATATTTGGAATGGCGACCCTTAACATCTTTTATTCACATATTAATAGAATAAAAAGAACTCACTTAAAATTCCTACACTTAAGGTACAAGCATCCTTCAAGTGAAGGATGATAGAAAGCACTTGTCATGTATTTGTACTTACTAACAGCACCCTTTGTTGTTAATTGGGAGTGTAGTCCCTTGGATATGCTTTTGTAGTTCATTAGCAAGATTTTTGGCTTTCAGGTTTACAGATAAAGGTGCCCTAAAAAAGAATGGGAAAGGGTTAAAAAAAAGGAAGTAATTAGAAAAGCCAAAACAAAGCCAACTCCCTGCTTTACTAAGAATCTGATCCTAAAAAAGATAAGGAAAAATGGATGTACACAAATTAAAGACCTACTTTTTCTTTTCATAGAAGTGTTTTCCTAGGTGTGAGGGCAAGAGTCTCCTAATTCGGTCGTCAGATAAAAAGAGATCAAATCTGTTCAGGAGGCGACGCTTCGCTTCAAACATTTTATACTCCTTTTTGAGAGTCTTGTAGGAGATGATCTGCAGTGCAAGTAACAGTTTAGTCCCCACTGCTAAAAATGCAGCCTAGAATGCTTCTTAGAACTGCACAGAATCATTATTTTAGAATGCTGAAGACAATCAAAATGTACTGTATCCTTTTCCTATTGTTTTAAGAATCAAACAACATGGATGTCTTGCATAGCAACTGAACTTGAGTACATGGTAACATCTAAATCAAGGTTAAACACAACAATAACATTATTTTATGGTTTTATTGCTAGTAGCATAAACAATCCAATCCAGCTGCAAAGGACTCAATTATTCAAGCATTTACTATACCATCAAACACCTCTCTTACCTGGCTAATACTTCTGATTCCATTCTGGATTAAAAGTTTCCTGTATAGATTTTCAGTCTGTTCTGCTGACAAATTTGGCTCATCCTTTGTGAAAAGGCAAACCTCAGCTGTTTCTGGTCGAATGCCATGGGGCAGTGGTCTACAATGAGGATATGAGACAGACAAAGAAGTTTTTTCTGGAACTAGGTCTACCCTGAGAGATCATTACCCTTTAAGAATACAGGGAAACTCTTGTATTTAGATTCTGTTAACTACTAAACATCCTTAGTGGAATCTCAGTGGATTTATTTTCTCAAGCTTCAGGATTGAAAGGCACGTACCTTGTAACTGGCAACCCAAAGAATCAGTATTCTCTGTGCCTAAGGATGGCAGCCCAGCTTCCAGTTACACCAAAAGTGGGACTAAAGCGGTTTTCACTGAAGGCACGGGAGCCGCCAGGAGGGGGCCGGGGCAGCCAAATCCCTCACGCTCAGCATTAGCAAAGTGCTCTTTCCCAAGCCAAAGGACACGAGCAACCCCTATACCGGTGAGTTTCTTACATTCTGATGAGTTTTGCCTCCCGCGGGACCTTCCAGACTGTCACTAGGAGGTGAACGCTCTCGTTCTCGTTGAGGAGCAGCGCGTCTCCCTTGGCCTTGCTCCTGGCGAAAGCCAGGAGAGCCTCCACCGCCATCTTCACCTGCAACGGCGCCAGCCGTGGTTAAACCCCAGCCCGGCCCGGCCCGGCCCCGCTCCAGGTGCTCCCCTCCGGCTCCCCGCGGTACCTGGGCGCTCTCCAGGTGCTCCCCCCCGGCTCCCCGCGGTACCTGGGCGCTCTCCAGGTGCTCCCCCCCGGCTCCCCGCGGTACCTGGGCGCTCTCCAGCAGCTCTCTCCGTCCCGCCATGGTCCCGCCGGTGCCACGTGCGGCCGCTGCGCCTGCGCGGGCTCCTCTTTCCGGGTCACGGCGGGGCCCGGCCGGGAAGGGGCGGTGCGGGGGGGGCGGGTCCCGCGGCTCCTGCTGGTCCCGGACCGGGGCCGGGGGTGTTCCCCGGGGGCACCGTTCCCGTCCTCGGAGCCAGCCTTGTCCTAGAACGTCACGGGCTAATCGAGTTTGGAGCAGAGCTCCGGAGGCCGTCAGTGCGTCCCGCCCCGGCAGCAGCGCCAGCCGGAGGTCAGGCGGGGATGCTCAGGGCTGTGTCCAGCCCGGGCTTCCCAGCTCCAGGGATGGAGACTGTGCCAATGCCCAAGTGTCCCAGTGCTCCATTTGTTACTGGCCTTCGGGTAGAGGACAAGCCATTATCTCTACCTTCAGATTTTTATTGTCCAAAGAATTGTTACCCATGTCTTCAGATTCCTTCTTTGAAGCCTATCCCTGATTTTATCTCCTGTATTACTGTCCTTTTGCACTGGAGTGCTGTTGTAAGTTCCATGTTTTCCTGAGTATCAGGAGGAACTGTTTTTATGATTGGAGAAGGATGTCCTTAAAGAACTGCTGCCAGCTCCCCTGAGCAACTTTCAGAGCTGCCTCCCATGGGATCTTGCCTGCTGGTTCTCTGAATAAACTCATGTATGTCTCATGGACTCCAGGGCCTGCCTTCTGCTCCTCATCTTCCTCACACTCTGTGTCTTGAACTCTGCTATTTCCAGGTCACTGCCATTGAGGCAGCCACTGATTATCACATGCTAAACCATTTCTTCCTCATTTGTGACTAATAAAGGTACAACTACTGTGTCTGCTGTTCAGTTTGGGAATGCACTGACTGACTACGTGGAAGTAGCTTAATTTTAGGATGCTTATCCCGTTGAGTTCCATGCTGGATAAATACATTGTTCTGAGATAAAATCTGGCCTGGAATTATTTTGCCCTCATTCCCACAGTGCTGTGTGTGCCTTGGCAGCTTTGCCTTGTCTGCATTCATCACACAGGTAAGCTGCTACCTGGGTAACACAGCTATGCATCACCAGGGTTTAAATATGCATGTAACTAGAAGTCTGAGTCATTCACTCATCTCTAGATCTTTTCTTGCCCTCTGCCTTTCTATTTATGGTTTTATTCTTTCTCATCAGATGTCTTCCAACAAAATTTGTTGCTCCATCGGTGTGCAAAGAGAAAGTACAAAGAGAAAGAAACTAAAATACCCTAGTCTCATGACAAACTGTTTCACGTAGTGGTTTATATTTTCATTCTATTGTTAGTGTTTTTTAGAGCAACAGTGGAATAGTTGATGGCTTCAAGACATATCCAGACTTATGAAAGAACTATATGGACATAAACTGATTTTAAAGAGTGGGGAAAAAAAATCCTATTGTGATATTTGAACAAAATAAACGAAACTGGCTAAGAAAAAGAAAAGCTATCCTTTGTTGCCATGTTGTTTGAAGTACTGATTAGAGAAATTACTGAAGGTGAGGAACAGGCAGGGTAGCCAAAGAGGGCAGACTCATTAAAATCTCTTCAGTACTGGTAGAATTTAGGCATGTGGTGTTGTATATTCTGATAACTGTATTAGCCATACTTCCTCCTTGCATATTTTAGAGCAGCCCTGTTTTAATAAAACATCAACATACTAGTGTGACATGTTAAAACAAAATAGAAAAAGTCAGATGACTGGAACATCTCTCTGAAAATAAGCCAGGCTAGTCTTGCAAGATACGATTGAACAGCATGTTTGAAGCCCAACTGTACTGGGTCAGTATAGCATTAATAGGATAAAACTAAAGGGACTATTATTAGCAACTCAAATTCAAATTTTTCACGTCAGTCTCATCCAAGTTCATTTTTCTGAACAATTTTAGGTCTGACATGACTAAATTTTACTAGATGTGATTTAACTGCCTTATTATAATCATTTTCTCTGGAAAGGTACTTGACATAGCTAACAGACCTGTCTTGGAAAAATTAAGTTAATCTCTGGATAAGAAATATTTCAGCTTAATACAGCATGCAATGAATATAAACTATAAGAGAGTGCACTTTTAATTTAGCAAGTTCATCAATTTACAGTTACTCCTACAAGGAAATTAGGTTTCATGCTCTGATCAGTGTTATTGCTGTACATTATCCTGCTGTAGCTCTCAATTTAACTTTTTGGACTATGGAAGTATGTATATTTCTTTAAGCCATTTGTGCCACTTACTTAAATGCTAAGATTTAAAATAATTGCAAGCCAGTCTACCTCATTACTTATATGTTTCTCTACATGCCTGATTTTATACTTTCTCACAGCAAAAGGGAAGTACAAGTAGCAATTGTTTCTGCTGTAAACAGATCTTTGAGGTTTAATATTATTCCAGTTCCAGGCTTATGTTCCTCCAGAATTTTTGATGGCAGATGTCAAAATCCCAGGTCTCTGTAAGTGTACCTCTTGCAACAAAACTACCACAAAGACTATGCAGAGATTAAAACAGGAGTAAGGAGTCCTTCATATGAGAGCCCAGAAGATAATCTCCCCCCTTGATCCAGAGTTCAAGCACGGGTTTTCTTTGGGTGGTGTTCCTTTGCAGTCCCAGGATCACCTCCAGCTGTAACCTGGCTGTCAGACACAGGGGTGCTTTGGTGTGTTTCAGAACAGAGGCTCCTGTCACTGTGACATGAGCTGCAAAGCTTTCCTCTTACAATGCTTTGCCTATCACCACTTCTAGAGGCTTAACAGGTGACAGGGACATTGCCTCAAATACCTTTTTGCCATCCAACACTTCATCTATTACATCTCGTATTATTACTTTTGTTCAGAAGTACGTGGATTTTTCAGGGGTATGTAACTGAGGCGAGATGGAGAAAAATCCAATTTATGTTGGAAGTTGATACTTCTTAGGAAGGAAAGCCAATGAAAGGATATGTGTTATCAAAAGGTATATATACACAGACAACAGGTTTTGGGTTTGTTAGCATAAATTTCCACTTTATATTAAGACTAGAATCCTTTCTAGTATTTCTTCAGAGGAAAAGTAGTATCTTGTCAGGTTTATAGTGCTTTAAAATAAACACAAGGAAAGAAACAAGTTCACAATATAAAATCTTCAGTAGTAACTCCAGTTTTGTTGGTATATTTTTCTGTACCAAATCCTCTGTAGGGTATACAAAAACAGCAGAATAAGTGAGAGCCTTTAAGTACCAGTTCAGGAAGAAAACAGTCTTGTCTGGAGTACATTTCATCTGCTTTATCATCATAATTTAAACAGTCTGAGTTAAGAACCAAAAAGCCAGAGTAATACAGAATCAAATACTTGGGACATTGAAACAATATTTTTTTCCTTAGGTAATATTCATTAATAAACACTTATAAAAACACATTTCTCATAATTAACATGATTTTTAATATATGGAGTGGTGCCATAAGTAGTCTAAAACAGAGGTTATTCACTGAGCACTTTTCCCTGGGCTTTTTATGCCACTAAAAAAGATCTGCAGAGGGCATTAAAGTCATGAGCAGCAAATATCCCCATGGATAAACCTTAAAGCAGTCGTTTTTCTTACAACACTATTACACCATAGTCAAGAGCTTGCTCTTCAGGAACACAATTTACTACCAGAGGAAGTGTCTCAGGAATCCAGTGTCACCATGTTTGTGGATCAGTTCCTGATTGTCTGCAAGAGATGCCCAAGGAGGCTGGAATGGTTTCAAGAAGACAGCTGATGGCAATGCCACCCATTCCTCCAGTTAGGGTGTTTTACTTCTGGTCACTTGCAGAAACAAGTCATTATTTTCCTGTTGCCAAATAATTAGCACTGCTGCACATTCAGATTTTTTTGCTTTACATTTAATTTTTGTTACATATACCAAGGTTTTCAGTTCAAGGACATACAAAGTCTTAATTTAGAGAATTATAATTTGTGTTTTTATAAGTTACATCGTGGCTAAACACTTAAGCCATATCTACACTACAAACTTTGGCCAACCAGCAGAGAGAAACAGGTGTGATCCTCATCACTACCACACTGCAAATGCTGTTTTACTGGGGAAAATAAACCCCCAAATCCCTCCTTTCTGCAGAAACACGCTCACAGTTTTGCTGGTATGAGTTACAGCCACGCCAGAACCCAGGAATACTCTGCCAGTGTTAGATGCAAGCACAGGTACCCTGGCAGTGCTCCTGGTGCTCCTGTAGCTTCAATCCAACTTTTATTTCCTTCCCCCCCCTTCCTTTCAACTGTTGTGGTTGCACAGCTCCTTTACTTTTATCTTCAAAGCAGCATACCACATTTTCAAACAAGGAAGTATTCAAAATGGTCATTTAAAAAAGTTTATTACATCAGTGAATCAGCAAATAGTATTTATTTCCAACAAAGCCACATTATCTTTTTTTTCTTCTTTCATCTAGATTTAGCTTTACTTAATAGTAGTAAAAATGGGACTATAAAATGTAGAATGGAGATGAAATGAAAAAGTTGAGATGTGATCTGAGGACTATTCAAACACAATGTACTTTCAGCTCTTCTACCCAAAATGCAGCCAATTTGTGCAGATTTATGCCTTACATTTTCATATCAGTGTATTTGCTATAGAATGCAAATATTTTACACCCAAATAAAAACTTCCTACAGGATAGCAATATCTTTAATTGCATAATGTGGATTCTGTTAACAGACAAGGTGACATTAACTGGATTTATGGAAATGTAATCAAATGCACTAGATGGGATGAGTAATGGAAATACTCAGACTCTCTATCTACTGATATTCCAACCCACCAGATGACTATTCAGTTTAATAATAAATACTCAGTCCAGCCTCATAATAATGAGGTTTTAGAATCCCCCATTAAGTTTGTTCAAAAGTGGAAAAATTCTGCTGGAGCATCATGTAGCCTTCAGATGCATTTCAATGCCTTAAAAAAAAAAAGATTTAAAAGATCTAACAATTTAGGAATCTAACTCTTATCTAATAATGGTCTTTGCAAATTTCAAATCCATGAGCTTGCTTCAAGAAAGCAGTCAGATATCTGGAAATCTTAAGTCAGTCCAGAATATGAACAAGACAGTAATTTTCCTTGGCTTTTAATTTCCTCATTAGTTTAAGATCCAAGGAACCGTGGGTTTTGTTCACTTGGTAGGAAAAAAAAAAAGTTGCTTTTAAACCCTGCTTTACCAAAAAAAATAAAAGCCCAGAGATTTGCAGACATAATAAAATTTATTTAAATTCCATGCATTACGGTAGCTACAAGTGTAGTCATATGAAACGGAAGGACAATAACTTCTTCTGTCCATACAATGTAGCTGTAAGTGAAATGAATGGGAGTTCCACAGTTACAAAGAAACAAACAAAACCAAAAAAAAAAAGACCAAAAAAAAAAAAAAAAAAAAAAAAAAAAAAAAAAAAAAAAAAGACCAAAAAAAGGTAAATCTCTTTCAATTTTGAGTTATCTGTGAATTCAGACACAGTCACTAGACTGTAAACTTTTGGGGGAGAAGATGGGCTCACCACAATTGTACAACTGAAAATGTTTAGTTTAAGACAGTCTGAAGAAGCTCTGAAGATACCTTTTAATAATTACTACTAATACTCTGGGAAATGAAAAAAATCCCTTAGCCTTCATCCTAATTGTTAGAATCAGGACAGCAATTGCAGACAGTCCACTTCCAAAGTGCAGCTAAATAGGGTTTTATTATGCAGCTCCTTCAAGTTGTACTGAGTAAGCTTTACTTTGAACCAGTTTTGCTTTAATTCTTCAAGAGAAACTTCACTGGTCCTCATCAGCTTACATTGCTTTTGATATGCAAAAATTTACAGACTGTGCTTGATTCTGACCCTCCCATATTTCGGTATGTGCAAATTCTTAGGGATTTAAATAGTCTGTCTCCCTCTCAGTTCAGACTGATCTTTAAAACAGCAAGGATTATCCAGCCCTCTAAATTAAAGACAGGGTGAACTGAGTAATTTATATAACTGGCACTTTTTAATTGGCCCAGTTCTCCCACAAAATGCAGCTCTTATAAATACTAATAGGCACTATTGCCACAGATTCTCTTATTTTTGCAACTTTCACTGATTTACTGGTTGTTAGCATTTTCTGCAGTTAAGAATTTAACAATGCTGAATTTTATAAAGACACAATACGTACTTCTAGCCTTCAAAATTGACTTACTGTGTCTAGTAATGATGTTAAGTCAACCTAAATTTGCTGAAGTTATTAACAAATGTAAAGCTAATGAAGGTGCCACATTTGCATGAATGTTTTTTTCAATTTTCAGAATGCATTCGACAAAGGGAAGGGGCAAACCTAATTGTTTTAATACAAACTTGGTTGAGTGCCCAATTGCCTCATTTAAAACTGTGTGTGTGGGGAGGCTGAGGAGTTTAGAAAAGTCCAAGTAACCAAACATCTGGGTTACTGGAGAGTTAAAAAGCTAAAT